GTTTTTTTAGTTTTTGAGTAATATAGTATTGATTTGTATTTTGGAAATCAATTTTTTAATACATACCTTGGTTTCAAATTCAATTTAATTTTATGAATGTTTTTTTTTTGTATTCAAACTCCACTAGTACTGGACCATTCAAAAAAAAAAATCTATTAGTACTGGCTAAGAAGGTAAGATATGCTTATATTAAAAATCAAACTATATTTTAATTTATAGAAAGGAAAAAAAAAAAATCGTATTTTAGGCGATCCAATTATAGATGACAAGACACGAAGTGTACAGGAAAGGAACAATTCGTCAAATCAGCCTCCATATCCACGTGGGTCGATTTTGGCTCATTTCTATTTATTTGAATAAAAAAGAAATAATAGAAATAAGCCTTAAGCTGTGAGGTTTTGAAATAGACGTGTATCACTCACTATTCACTAATGTGATCTCGTGTGCTGTACTTCATTGGAAGATGCAGAAACTTAGCCGACAAGTATCACAGTGTACCATACATATACTATGCCGGGACCGAATTGGATGTGTATTGTGTAGGATAGGATATATCCAATTTGGCCAAGTGATCAAGCGCCGACAGTAACACTGCAGATGGCCCTTAAAAACGAAGTATATACTATTTAGTTAGTACTCCTCTTGTCCCGAGTTAAATATCACCTTTGATATTTGTAACTCACATTATTATGAGTTATAAATATCAAAGGTCATAATTAATTCAGAATAGAAAGAATATAATTTTTTATTATTATTATTTTTTTTTGCTTATCAAAAAAAATAAAAAAAGAGAGTATACACTCTTCAATCAGAAATGTCTATTTTTGGGAGAGTGAAATAGAGGGGCCCATTTGCTTCGAAAATGAGAGTTCAGTCTTATAAAAGGAATTAATTTTAAACTCAGAATCTGACCACGTAATTAAGGGTAGCCGGCCACTTGCCACATCATTTACTGGTGGTAGGCTCACTAAACTTATTTAGTTCTCGTCCATATCATATCGTCAATATTACAGTTTTTGTACTTACTTTTTTGCCCTTTTGGAATGTTTTTTATTTTTTTTTATTTTTTTATTATTATTTATTCTTTTCATGCACGTCCATTTTTGGTCCTGAGAGATACATTTTTTTGTTTCACACAGGATCAACGCCGTCAACGCGTCATCATGCGTATCCGGTGATAATTCCATTATTCTATGCATTTTTATGCACACCAACAGTAACCCCGCACCTCAATGTGTCGGATCAGTTTCTGCACCGCGCCACCATGCGCTATCAATGATTATCATGCGCTTGATCACACATGCCTTCAACATGGTAAATCTTCACAAATTCATCACCCATCAATTTATAGTTGTTACCATCGGGGATGGCAATCTCAACCTATTCACACTTCACACTTACTTCCAAGATCTTCACAGATTCACTCTACATCACCTGATATGTTAACATTGGTGCAACGTTAGACACATTCTGTAACGATGCCAGTAGTTGTGCTATGTCACTTACCACGTCAGTTGTCATGCAACAGTGGCCAGTAGTAGTGCCAAATCACCTACCACTCCAGTTGAGATGTCATCAACATCGGTGCCACGTCAGCTACATTAGGGTGAAAGGATCGTCTTCAAACTCAAACTCAAATTCAAATTCAAGATGATTTCATATAACTCACCTTAATTTTGAGTGACTGTTAGAATATATTATATAATATATTGTTACCATATATAGTTAACGTGTATATATATATATTATAGAATATATTATTATCATATATAAATTTATCATATACGATTTAGGTTAACTTACTCACCATACATAACCATTCCTATATAAACTCTTAATTCTTAACAACACATTAATACAATACTCTCTCTCTCTTTTATTCATTAACAAGACATCAATACAATATTCTCTCTCTTTTATTTCTAACAGTTTTTACCAAGTTAGAAAATTTCATTAGATTAAATTATTTGGCACTGTGTGATAGGTATACGCTTAGCTTGAATGAATGGATTCAAAAACACTCCACGGAACAAAAACGAATATTTCAATAGTATTGAGTTGTTTTATTGTCTAGTTTATTTTTATTATTATTGGAATAAAATGTCTAGTTTATATGGAACACTTCCATCCACGTATCTTTTGGCCCAGGTCGTATTCACTGTTGCTACACCAGTACACCCTTGTTGACAAATGTATCGATTTGGATAGAAAGAAAATGATTGGACTATATCTAAAGATATGTAACTAAATTTAAAATTGAAAAAAAATTTAAATTTAAATTTTTTTTAGTTTAAACTCAATATTATTTCCTCCGTCTCAAACAATTGTAACTCACAAAAGTTATCCTTCTCAAATAAGACTAAGACTTTAAATTTGAGACAAGTAATTTAATACTCTCAAACAGCAAGTTTTGAAATAGTTTAAAATTCCATTCATTGTCAATTTTAGAATTGCGGGCGCCGAGGAACATGCACTATATACTGGTTTCATTGTTAATAAATTCTTGTTTTTTTTTTTTTAATTTTTTTTTATTATTCAATTTTCATTTGGAGTCTATTATTTATTTATTTATTTATTTTTACAACTCAATGCACATCCAGTTTTTCCCCATCATCTGAAAATCAAATGCACATCCAGTTTTTGTGCTTATAGAAACTTTTAAAGTCTTATAGAATGACGAAAGATGGCGGCATTTGAGTTGTTCAATTTGATACATAAATACATTGCAATCGATAAATGGGTCTGTTTTGTATGGATTTGTTTTCACCTTGTTAGGATATTTTCTTGAAAAGCTTATTTGGTCCACTTTTTAAAATTTAGTCTGACTTCAAATAACAAAATAACTTAATATATATAATTCAAAAAAAATTCGGATCACATCCTGAAAAATTTAGTGGACATTTTTTATTTTTATTTTTATTTTTTATAATATATACGTGTGTGTGTGTGTGGGTGTGTGTGTATATTTACACATATATTCACAAAATCTATATTTAGAAACTGAGCAAAACTTGTTGGGTACGCAACTTCAACTTGTGTTTGTGTATATATATATATGGACAGTTTCATAATTTCATTGTAAATCGGCCCAGCAAACACCTCTCCTCTCTCTTTCATGGACTAGGTGTTTATATCAATAATCAATCAAATTGTTCATTTGAATAGTATCAAAGTATTTCTAAAATTAAGGTCAAAATCAGAAGTATCAAAATGATATTTTTGTTTGCTTCCGCATTATAACAAAATGTTGTTAAAAAAAAAAAAAAAAAAAAATTTTGAAATTAATATTTTTTACTATTCATTCAAAATTTTAAATGTGTAACACTTTTTATCAAATATATTCTCATATTTTTACTTTCAAAATTCTTACAATAAATTTAGGTAACCAAACAAATTTTGAAACAAATTTAAACACATTTTAAAACAAAAATATTTCTTTTATTTTGGATCAAAGTAAAAACAAATAGCAACTGTAATATACCAAACCAGCCAGCGGTATTAAAATCCTTTTTGGTACGGTTGGGAATTGGACAGGCTAATTCATTGCTGAATTTTGTGAGGTGGAGAAAGTGCAAACAGGGATAACTTTGGCAGTGTGTCATAGGTATACGCTTAGGTCACGTTTCTACTTGCCCATGGTCAAACCTTAGCTTGAATGAATGGATTCAAAGCACTCCGGCCAACAGTGTGGGATCCACTACAAATTCATCCCCCACCATTCTCCTATTGGTATAAGAGGGATGCCTTTGACCATTTAATTGACATTTATAACTTTATAAGTTAATAAATTGAATGAAATTATTCTTTATAAACAAATAAAATTAATAATTCACAATTTCTTAAAATAATAAAATTGATAATAAAATTATATATTTCTTTTGTTGTAATTTTTTTTTAATTTCTTATAAAAAGAAAAAAATTTGACCAATCTAAAAAAATATCTGTGGGTACTACTTATATATGTCAATGTTTGTTCAATTTTGCCTTAAAAAAATTATAAGATATTATGGATGGGTTATCCAACCTCTGAATGATGTTTTTCAAGAACTAATTGATGCCACTGGGTATTACTTTGCTACATAGCCTAAATTGGATTCGCTATTTTAGTTATTTAATTATTTTTCATTCTGCTTTTATGGTAATAACAAAATTGATAACCCCATTTGTTAAAAAAAAAAAAAAAAAAAAAAAAACTAATTCTATTATGCCACAATTTTTCAAAATAACAAAATTTTGGTAAAAAAAAAAAAAAAAAAAGGAAAAAAGAAAACCACAAATTAGTAAAGAAAATAAGAACAAAATTTTCTTGTAAAGAAAATAAAGAAAACCTCATATTTAAAAAACCGCATAAAGAAAACCCCATATTTCTTTACAATATTTTTTTGTAAAGAAACCTCATTTTAGTAAAGAAAACATGAATGAAATTTTTGTTAAAAATAAATTCGGAATTTAATATTAAGGGGTAATTTTGTCTTTTCATATGATTTAAGGCCTTATTTGAATGGAATTTCTTCAAGGGGGTATCATTATCTAAAAAATAAGTAACTTTAATCTGAGTGTGCTTTTGACAAACCTCATGAAATGTTACCGTACTTTACCCTATATATTTTTACAACTCAATGCACATTCAGTTTTCCCCCATCATCTGAAAATCAAATGCACATCCAGTTTCTGTCCTAGTAGAAACTTTAAAACTCTTTATAAAATGATGAAAGATGGCGGCATTTGAGTTGTTCAATTTGATACATAAATTCATTGCAATCGATAAATGGGTCTGTTTATTCTCCCTCGTTTTGTATGGATTTGTTTTCACCTTGTTAGGATATTTTCTTGAAAAGCTTATTTGGTCCACTTTTTTAAATTCAGTCTGACTTCAAATAACAAAATAAATTAATATATATAATTCAAAAAAAATTAGGATCACATCTTGAAAATTTTAGAGGACATTTTTTTTAATAATATATACGTGTGTTCTTATATATTTACACAAAATCTATATTTAGAAACTGAGCAAACATCACCTCCGCTAGTACTTGTGTTTGTGTATTTATATGTATGTTCAGTTTCATTGTAAATTGGCCCAGCAAACACCTCTCCTCTCTCTTTCTTGAAAAATGGTGAGCTTAAAGGGTTCTTACATGGTGAAGCCATTGGAGCAGACACCAAATAGTCTTATGGATTTGTCAGACTGTGACCAGATTCAAGCCATAACTCATGCTCCAACAGTCTATTTCTATCGACCCTCCTCAAAGTTTGATTATACTACCCCAATAGACATCCTAAGAGACTCTCTCAGCAAAGCCCTTGTTATCTTCTACCCTCTTGCTGGCCGCTTGCACTGGATTGGCTCCGCAGGCCGCCTCGAGCTCCACTGCAACTCCATGGGAGCTCTGCTGCTCGAAGCAGAGTCCGAAGCCAAAATAGACGACTTCGGTGACTTCTGTCCAACTCCACAGATCAGAGCCCTCGTACCATCCATAGACTATAGCTCGCCAATTCACGAACAGCCTCTAGTGTTGGTGCAGCTCACCAAGTTCAGCTGCGGTGGAATTAGCGTCGGCCTGGGGATATCCCATGTCTTGGTTGACGGCCCCAGTGCGTTTCACTTCGTCACCGAGTGGGCCAAAATCGCTCGTGGCGAGCAATCAGACAACCCTCCGTTTCTTGATCGCTCCGTATTACTGGCCAAGGTACCTTTGGCTCCACCAAGTTTTGATCATGTAGAGTTAAATCCAACACCACTCTTGATTGGTCGATCCGATAATTTGGAGGAACGAAAGAAGGAAACTATGGTGGTCATGTTGAAGCTAAGCAAAGACCAAATCGACAAGTTAAAGAAGATAGCAAATGAGGGTAAGAGTAGAGACAGAAACGGCGGTGGCTATAGCCGGTACGAGGCTGTTGCTGGGCACATGTGGAGGTGTGCATGCAGGGCTAGGAAGCTCGAAAGCCAGCAGCCAACAAGGTTAGATGTTGCCGTAAATTTGCGGAACCGTTTGGAACCACCATTGCCGAAGGGGTACTTTGGGAATGCAGTCGCTCGGACGGCAGCAATAGGCATGTCGGGCGAGATTGTGTCAAAGCCGTTGTCTTATACTTCGAGTAAGATCAGAGAAGCAATAGATAAGATGAGTGATGAGTACCTGAGATCATATCTTGGTTTTGTGAGGAGCCAAGATGATATGTCTAGGTACCGTAATTTCCACACACTTGGGTGCACCAAAGGGGCTTTCTATGGGAACCCAAACTTAGAGATCACGAGTTGGGCATCTCTACCTCTCTATGGTGCTGATTTCGGGTGGGGAAAGGAGATTCATATGGGACCTGGAGCTATAGGTTATGATGGCAAGTCTTTTATCCTACCCGGCCACGACCAAGATGGATCCTATATCATTCCATTGCGCTTGCAGGTGGCTCATATGGATGCTTTTAGGAAGTTCTTTTATGAAGATATCTGATTAACGGTCAGTGATCACGCTTTCTTAATTTGAATCAGTACAAGGTAAGAGTGCTCTCATCGTAATATTTCCTTTTTTAGAATTAGGTAGGTGGGGGTATCCATGCTACTGTGTGTGTGATTAATAATTGGTTTTTGGGTGAGAAATTAAGCAAATGAATGTATGTCCCGCTGCTTTGTAATTCAAAAACAATTAATATTTGTTTGTTCTTTAATAAATTAAGGGTTGAGTTACTGTTTGTTTCTTTAAATTCTACAAACAGGTTTGGAGATTGGCCAACCACATGTTGCACAGTTCCTAATCCGGACGCGCACACCTTCCAAAAATAGCAAAAACCGTACATATTATGCGTGATCACCTTTTTTAGCAAACATGAAACAAAAATATACAAGTACACAAACCATATATAGGGATTTTGAGTTCAATCACGAATTCCATGCATGATTGACACCACTGAGGTTAAAATTTAGTTTTTGTCCGGGTCTTCTTTGTTTAATTTGTAGATCAGAAGTTTTTATCTGTAGAGCACTTTGTTTGTTAATTTTGAGATCTTTAGAGTTTGTTTTTATTTTTTTGTAAATAAAAAAATCAAATATATTGATATGTGTATATATACGTGGATGATAACTACGGACAAAAATTCTAATGTAATTGACTTTTTAGGCAAATAATATTTAAAAAATGCATCTGACTACTCACATGCGTATGAATGCAGCACACCACATATTGCTGTACCGACTCTGTCAAGAGAATCTCTATCCAACTATTCTTTTCACCTTAATTAGATATATGCAATTAACTTTGTCCAAATCTTCTCATGAAGTTTAGGCTTAAGAATTATTATCCTTAATCAAAGCATGGCCTAAGAGTTTTGATCAATACAATAATGATATTATATGATTTTAGTAATGTAATACTACCACTTAGTAAAATCCCATTATATAATTATAAGTTTACTCAAAAGTAGTATTTGATTACATGTCATTTAATATAAAATTATGTAAGCATACATTTAAGTAACTCATAAGTGTAAGGGGTCGGTGAGGAGAGGGGAATTTATATGTAATTTTCGATTTTAAAGATGTAGCATTAAGAGTGTGATGACTACACTAGTGGGTTTTGACATCTAGTTGTACTCTCTTCATTGATTTATAATAGTGAGATCTATGTCGATGGACGTAGTCTAAAATTAGAAGAATTATGTAAAATATTGTGTTGTGCATTAATGTATTTGATTGTTATCTCCTTATACGTTTGTGTAACTGATCTAATGATGATCTTCTGCTACATGTGACGAGGAATGATTTAACTCTCAAGCTATTGAGTGTGTTGGAGGGAATTAATATCCCTAACAATTGGTATTAGAGTCGATGGTTGGTAAAGTCTATAGTTAGTACAGAAGATCAGAGCAAAAGATTCATCGTGAGGTGCTACAGAGATTCCATCAGAGTTGGTGATGACACAAAAATGAATGGACAGTGTGAATACACAAGCCCATGAGTAATAGTATTTGAGGACAAGCCAGGGAGCGGGCATTAATTCTCATGATAGGACGAGCATGGTACGAGGAATGAAGGAGTCTACTCTAAACCCTATAAAATTGAGCTTTGAGAAAATTGCATCAAATATTACTTTACATCAAGTTTAGCTCTCACCATAGCTATACTATCCATTTTCTTCATCTTTGTTTCCAATTGGCTTTTGCTTCTTAACTTGAAACTTTATGATTTTTTACCTTTGTAAATAACCTTTGCCATTATCTTTGAGACTTTGAGCTCTAACCAGGGATGGACCTGTGATGGCCTTCTTCGTGCTCTGATTGCTGATTTAACAGTAATGTTATTGTAGCAACGGTTTTTTGAGTGCTTGGAGTGGGCTGGGCTCCTCTTTCGTTGTATGGATTTGGCCTTTGGGCTTGGCCCGTTTTGTATTTTCTGTTCTTTTAATAAAATTTGTTGATTTATAGAAAAAAAAAGAAAAAGAAAAAAAGGGTTGAGGTCCTATTTGTTTCTTTAACATCTACAAACAGGTTAACTGCTCTTCTCCCTGAATGTAACTTTGTTTCCTCTTTAATCTAGTTTGTTTGTTTCTTGGTGAAAAAAACAAAAAAAAATCCTTGTAAAAATAGAAAAAACCGTATATATATATATATATATATAATGCATGGTCTCTTTTCTTGGAGACATAGACACGAAAATATACAAGTACACTGTACACAAACTATATATATATATATATATAGATTTGTGATCAATCACGAATTCATGATTGACACCACTTGACTGAGGTAAAAATTTAATTATTGCCCCGCTCTTCTTTGTTTAATTTGTAGATGAGAATGCAGAAACTGTGAATTTAAAAGATGGTTATATTACAGTAATATAATTAAAACATTATTATACTTTTTCGCATACGTACAACCATTGAACTCAAGTCTCTCACTTTAAACAGAACATGAACTTTAAAGTAGTTCTTTGTATTTTTCCTAGACTTGAAAATTTCCATTTGTATGTGAATTGTTGTTATCCCATTTAATATCCAATAGAAAGCCCTTTTTATTTGTTTTTCTTATTAACTTGGTGTTTGATGGCCTCCTTCATTTTACTTTTTTTTGAAAGGTAGTGGTTAACAGTCCTTAAATAGAACTGAAAGGGGATTTTGTTGCACCATGGAAATATGGTCTTGTATCACATCAACGTTGGATCCGAGTTCACAATCAGATTCCTTGTTGCACTCATTCATGTTATCATCATCGTGGTCCTTGTGGCCCTCATTTATTATGAACAGGGACAACTAAATGAATTTTTTTTCTTCTTTTTTACAAGTCATTGTTGAAGGCATTTCTTTATATCCCTCTTTCTTTTACACTATCATTATTGTTTCTTTTCTTTTCTTTCCTTACCGGACACAAACAGAAAATATATATAACATCTTCTTTAAGAATATTTCACATTCAATTTTCTTATTTTCTACCAATGAAACATTAGCGTAGAACAATACCTAAGTATTATGGCATACTTGCTTACAATAAGATATTGAATGTGTCAGATACGCCGTATTATATATTGGGCTCATTTGAGCCATACATGTACAACACTTATGATTCGAATGAGCTCAGTGCATTAGACGCACCCAATATCTATTCCTTATACACCACTCACACAATAATTGTGGGATTCAAAATTTATTTCTTATGTTCCAATTCCGTATGCGAGTTAGCCCTTCACTCACAATAATTGTGGGATTCATAGTAATATAGTAGACTCACAACCCAAACCACGCGTTACCATCCTTAATTCTATGCAACCCAACATAACATATATGTAGCAAAATAATTATCCTTTTTGTCCTTTATATTTTTTGAAAGGTATCATAAAACATTTCACATTTTTCACAAAATTTTAAGAATAAATTACACTTACCTTTCTTAAGTTTGGACAAATCTTACATTTGTGGAGCGTTTGAGGTTTATTACCCTAATTTCCCTTACGACTATAAAAAATCAAATATACCTTTATATATAATATATTTTTATAATACAAAATATATTATAAAATTAAAAAAAATTAATTTTCTATCTCATCCCTCTTATTAGTTTCTATATCCTCTCCACCACTGTTACCCCCTCCTAAAAAAAATATTATAAATAAATGAAAATTTTGAGTGTAAGGGCAACTTGTTCATTTTATGAATTTTTTTTACAAGTTTTGATGGAGGGGGGTTGTTGAATATACACCCAAACTTCAAAAGAGGTCAAAATAATAAATCTGAAACGCTTCACTTGTGTAAGATTTGTCCAAATATGAGGGGTGGTAAGTGTAATTTACCCAAATTTTAAACGTTTCAATTTAAATTACAACATCAAGGGCTTTTGCAACGCGATCCAATAGCTGACGTAGTGTTGACAACTTGACAGATCTCTATTCTGTTGCAAGCAGATAACCAAACCCCATCTAAATAAACCCTCCCAAAATCCAGTCTTTCAAATAATTGAAATTAGGGTTCTTATAATTTTGTTACCCTCAAGCTCAGTCGATTTCTTCTCTCTTGGTTCAGTTTTGTTGGGAATCATGGGTAATACATCTTCCATGCTTACTCAATATGACATCGAGGAGGTTCAAGAACACTGTAATAACACCTGTAAGCACATATACTCATACATATCTATAATTTTATTTTTGTAATGGTGGAGATTTTGGGTTCTTTATTAAGTGTGGGTTGATCCTTTGTGCTGCAGTTTCGCAGCAGGAGATAGTATCTCTCTATGAGAGGTTCTGTCAGCTGGATCGCAACGGTGGTGGCTTCATTTCCGGCGAGGAGTTTTTGTCCGTACCCGAATTCGCCGTCAATCCTCTATCTCAGGTTCAAAGTCGCTTTTTTTTTTTTTTTTGGGCTCCACATTTTGGAGATATATAAACATGTTGACCATATTTTCAATGTTTTAAAAAGGTCTCAAAATTGGGTTGGGTTTTGAAGCTCAAATGATCCTTACATGATTGTGATTTTTGTATACAGATACACATATACATTGGCTTCATATATATGTACTTTTGATTTATTTATTTTTTGTTTTCCAGAGTTTGTTGAGGATGCTGGATGGATTGAATTTCAAGGAATTTGTGGCTTTCTTGTCTGCATTTAGTTCTCGCGCAAGCTTGCAGCAAAAAGTAGAATGTAATTATTCTTTCTATTATTGATCAGGAAAAAAGTTACTTTCTGTATTTGTAGCCTGCCTATGTGATTTCATTCTCTCTTTCTAAAAATTTCCACTTTTGATTGTTATAATGGAATTTGTGTTGTAGTCATCTTTAAGGTCTATGATTCGGATGGCAATGGCAAAGTCACATTCAGTGATATGTTGGATGTTTTGCGTGACTTGACGGGGCAATTTATATCTGAACAACAAAGGGAGGTTGGCTTCTATTTTTGTAGTATTGGGTCGTATTTTCCTTTACCTCTGATTCTGTTTTATGAGTGAAATTTCGGAAGCAATATTATAATAAAATTCAAACATAACGGTTGATATTATAACTATGGTGTCAAAGAGAAAATGATTAACTCATCTGAACTAAATCATTTAGCTGTACTTGGAAATTCATCCATGCCCAAATGATGATACTAATGAACGTAGTATGTGAATTTTTTTTTCCCTACACCAACCAGAGCGTCATACTTTTTTTTGGTTGATGAAGAGTAACATGAAGAGAAACGGAAACTAACATTTTAATTTAACTCTTAAAGAATAGTGAAAATAGAAAACTAACATGTTCTCTAATATTCGTAAAACATAGCAAATGCTTAAAATTGTTTCGTTCGAGATCATCTTGGAACATTTTCTTCATCATATTGTTCTCTCCTTTCTCCCAATCATCCCAAGATCCAAAGAAAGGGTTATACTTTTTGCTATTGCCACTTTGATCCTAGTTTGCAATAAAAATCCAGTTTTCTTATTTCTGTGGCTCTTTGTATGTCAGCTCTGCAGTTGAACAGAATACTACTCATTTTTTTCAACTTCTAGGATGCAAATTTTATTTTTATTTTATTTTTGTGAAGAATCTGCAATATGGAACTCTGCAGTTATACAGGAAAAGACAAATGGTTTTCTCTAAATGGATTAGGTTTTCGTTGGTGTTAGGTTCAAATTTTATTAATACAGGCCTATTGAGCTGTCTTAATATTTTCAGTTGGTCTTTCAACTATTTGAATTAGTGTGGGATTATTGGATCAGTCACCAAGTTCTTATCTTGGGATTCCTCAATGGTTAAGTTTCCTATGAAGATTATATTCGAATTGTTGTTGGTGGCGAATGACAATGTTGTATCCTAGCTGGTGAGTTAAATTGCCTAAAGGAAAAAAATGTAAGACTAATGGATCCAATTTATAAAGTATGTATCAATCAAACAGCAAAACTTTTTTATTTTTTTATTTTTAAAATTCTGAACTCTAATAGAAGTTGGTTAAAGGACTTGAAAGTGGGTAGTACTCATGATTAATGATTGAGAATGCACGACATGCTATGTCAATATAATTATTGCATGGTTTGTAGACAATGAGAGTTGGAGCTAACATACATATTTCTGGTCATGTTCTCTGTTTCCACAGCAAGTTCTGACCCATGTTCTTGAGGAAGCTGGATACAAAACGGATTCTTTGTTAGTTGTGTCTGACTTTATGAAGGTAATATGAGTCCATATCAACCTTACGTAATCAATAAATTTTGAAATTTTAATTATTTATGTGTTATATTAGTTGAATATAAATTTGTAGATATTAACAGGTATGTGTATTTCTCATTTCTCCTTTATTGTTTTCATCTCTTACTTGTAAATATCAAACTGGTATGCCTATTTTCTCCATAGTTGTGTTAACTTGTTGCTTCTAACGTAGTTTTCTCTTGTATGAATGAATGTGCAGGCTTTAATCATGTTCATTTAATCAATTATTTGACTTATTTTCACTCACTAGTAGATTTTACTTTCATAGCTCTGAGCGTTTTCATGCATTCTCAAATTCGAGGTCTTCTTGCTACTCTTTTTTGCTAATACAAAGAACCATCTCATTCATTTTACAGTGTATTTTGATGGACATCTTACTTCTGTTAGCATTATGGTAGCATATTGTATTTAAGTGTTGACTATGCTTTTACATGTTAGAATGTGTGTTAGTGCACACTTTTTTTTTTTGGTTGAATGGTAAGCTCTGTTAATGCACACTTGTTTGTTCATAAACCGTGGTTTTTCCATGTAGCAAGTATATTGGCCCTTCATAATATATAAATGCTTAACGTCACTACAATAACAGTTGAAACTTTTAAAGCTGTGGGTTGTTATGTGATATCAGAGAACACATTTACATTAACTTTTACTGCCTTCCTGATATTTGACCCACTCATGGTAGAAAGTCTATTTATGCTTAAATGGGCGATGTAGATGCTATAAAATTTTAAGTTAGACCCTTAAGTTGTTGGGTCATTTGGTTGTCTAATATAATGCAAAACATGTAAGGTCCTGACAGGAAGAACATCATTGCTTACTTGATAATTATGATACATACACCTGTTCGGTCTCCAATCAAGTGATTGTTGTTTAGCAGCACTTCTCGTAATCTGTTACAGTGTTGTATCAGAGTTTTAAGAGTATTCCCTGCACACATCCTACACCAGACTGACTAAAATTTACCCATGGAATTGAATTTTCAATCATAGCTGGACTGGGTCTAGTGTAACATGGTGGTATCAATCTCTACCTACAGTCTAACGGAGAGCTCCAACTTCCAAGGTTAGAAATTAATGGGCTGTAATAGGATGAAAGGGATTTTGTTGATTCCTTGGAAAAAATGGTGTTACAAGTAATGCCATGCAGTCCAGTAGCTCTCCTGCGAGCGTTTGTCTCACATAAATGTTGGTTCCAAGTTCAGAAGAGTATTCATTGCACTCATCCTTTGCATCATCATCATCTTCCTTGCTTTCTATCCCATCTGAACAGGGTCCACTACATGAATTCTCTTTTTCCATTTTTTCTATTACAAGTCATTTCTCCTATTTTATTTATTTTTTTAAAATCATTCTAATAACTTCATTGATCTGCCTCTTTGTCTCTTATCTTCTATGCAAACAATTCTAATATGTTCATCTACCACTCTATGTTGTTTATGCCCATACCATCTAAATCTATTGTCTCTTATTTCTTCGCTAATAGGCGCCATTCTTAGTAACTTACTTATAAAATGAAAATTTAAATCAAAGCTGGATTGGTTCTAGTGCAACATGGTTGTACAATTGGAGAGCTCAAATTTTGGTAGTTTATTAGGCTTTTATAACAGTGACTGAAGGGGATTTTGTTGATACCATGGAAAAAGACATTGTTATATGAGATGTTTATGGTTTTTAGGCAACTAATTTGACCCTTCATGTACTAGATTGTCCTTGGACAGCAAAATATCATGTTTTTCAATTTGCTTTGTGTACCTTGGTCCTTGTGTTCCAATGATATCAAGAGTAAGCCTTAATGTGGAAAGTTAGAGGAAAGCTCCATCAAGTGGTTTCTTAAAGAATATCTTATCTGATATTATAAATAATACTGCGTGAATTTGTTATGCAAGGTACGGAAATTGATTTTAGACCATGCCCAGACTAAAGTTTCCAAGCTTTTCCTAGTTAGTTTTCATAAGCATTCTATTCAAGTGATGGATGTTGATATACCATGAGTTTTTTTTTTTAGGACCCATATAACTGACATCAAATAGTTTGTGATAAACTTCATGCAAAATCATTTGATTTTGATACATTTTATAATATATTTTAGTATAAATTATATAATTCTATATTTTACAATTTGTTAAGCTTGATATACTTTACAAAGTTACTCGCCGTATGCCTTGCAGATTCTTGGGAACTCTGGCCTGAAAATGGAAGTTGAGGTTCCGGTGGATTGACTTGATGGTAATGAATCTCAAAGTTATGGTTTCTAAGAAGTTAACAGGCAGTCGGCTACATTGTTTCTCCAGGTGCTTCTTTAGGAAATGTGATATTGACTGTGTTGAATTCTTTTATCTACCGATAAAAAAAAAACAAAAAAAAAAAACGATATTGAAAGTGTTGGTAATGTATCAGTCTTGCTTATTTGTTTGTAAATCAACAGCCAAAGGACTTGTGAGTATCTTGTGCCTCCTTCAGCCAAATGGCATTGTTTCTCCAGCAGTTACCGTGCAGATCCCTTTGCTTCGGTAAATTCCTCAATTATGGCCAGTTTTCGCTGCTCAACCAAGAAGATTGTTGTGCTTTCTTTTGATAGTTTATGCATGCACAACATTTACTCCAAATCCATGAATTTCACCAAAATCATAAGAATAGAGTCCCATGGGTTCCTTGCATAAGATACTTGCTGAAATGACGATTCGTTGCCCCTTCCCAGAATCCCCATACTGTGTTGGCCTTATCGCGAAGTTACTGTTGATAATGGTTAAGTTAATCAGCCTAATGTCATTGTTTTTTCCAGCAAAGTCATGATTTAAATGAATCCATATAAAAACAGGTCTATTATAGATTACATCATCGTCTTGTTCAGTCTCTATTCGTTCATATAAACATGTATATACAGAAACATTCAAATGGCTGTCACTCGTGGATGTCTCTGTCATGGAGCACCATGTCCCATTCATCTTCTTTTCATTTATGAATAAGAGATTTGTGATGTGTTCTTCCTCAAGATTGTTCTAGTAGGGTGGAACTACTCTATCAGGCGGTGGTTAGGTTTAGAAGGCCACTGTGCAAGGAATTTGCAAGACCTATGCCTATTCTGATGTTCTTTCTTAAGCTTTTACCAAGAAGAGTCTATATCATCTCTTGTAACCTTTTTTGCTATTGGGTCTCCACTTGTTATCTAACAAGTATGTCATCATTGAGTTTTTTTTGGTACCGAGTCCTGCCTTTTTCCTGCTCAGAAAACCATTCATTCTGTAAAAAAAAGATTGTTACACCACATATACAATCACAAAACATTGCAATGGAACTCTGCAACAGATGTGCCATAGTATTTAATTCCCTCATCGCCAACTATCCATCGTCAAAAGCAATACATAAATTGACACGTGGACATATTTGCAGTGAAAAATTAAAAGAAAATAGATTAGACACTCACAATAATATGCATGGTTCACCAAAAAATTAGAGTTATGTTCACGGGTTGTAGGGATTTTACTAGAAACTGCACAAACACAGATTCGTTCAGAATAAAATAAATACCTCTCACTAAGGTAACATAACAAAAGCATAATATATTAAAGTACTTCTAAAAATTCGACTAAAGTGTACTACTTATCGGCTCTACAAAGCCAATAATATTTGTTTTCAGAGCTACAAAGCCAATAATATTTTTTCATCACTCATCAGAGCAAACAAAGCCAATAGTATCAGAGAATATATAAATCCTAACCGGGGAACTTGGTAGTGATGGTAGGTTTTGGGGGATTGGGCAGGAGGAGATTTTTGCAAAGAACTCAGTGGGTGGGCTTTATAATTTTGGTACGTGATGAGTAGATATCAACTAACATAAGTTGTTCATTAACAAGTGTAATTTAGTTTAGCACGTAGAAGATACCATTTAAAATTCTACTTCATGAAATATGCTGTAATTTTATAATTATTATGGAGTGTGTTCGGTTGCATGTAATTTGATCATTAAAATTGAAACTGAAATTGAAATTGAAATTGGTAGAATTTGAGAAAAATAACAAAGAAAATTGAACCAAATTTTTTTCAAATTCCACCAATTCTATGCAGCCGAATACATCCGAATACATCCTGAGAATAATTTTGTTGTTCATTTGAATAAGAATTTGTACTTTGCTAGGTTAAACTTAAAATGGAATGAGAAAAAAATTGAAAGCAAATTAGATATTTTTGACCTGCTAATTAAAGCCAAAAATCTTGGTTAACAATGATGATAAAAGTTTTTATTTTTAATTGCATTTTATCATCTAGTTGGAGCTAGTGAGTTTGGTAATCTCAACCTTCCACTAGCTACCAATAAAAAAAAAAGAGTATATTAATCAATTAAAATGCTATGCGGAAAGAAACATAAGTGCATTTCTATTATGCAAGCACTATGATTCGGTGTTTGTTACCACAAACACAATGCTAATAAATTAAGATAATTGTAAATTAACAAGCAAAAACATAATCTTAATTTATTTACAATATCCAATACTACTGATATTTTTTTAATGAATAATACTGGTCTTAAACAGTATAAGAAGAACCTCCTTAATAAAACATTAACGAGTGTTAAGAGTTTTAAAAGAAAAAAAAAAAATGATGACTACAAAGAATAGAAAATAATCCTTCCCTCTTTCTCTCTCACGCAGCTATATATTACTTCTATGTTTTGAATCTAAACTCAAACAAACAAAATTTAGAGACAATAAAATCTAAACCTGCAAGTTGTTATCGGTTCTTATATCAAGCTTCAATAATGTCTTTGAGATTTAGAAAAAGAAACAAAGAAAAAAATTATCAATTGCACTTATAAATCTAATAGACAATTAGAGAACATCTAAATACAAGATTTAATAGACAATTACAAAACATATACAGAGATTGCCAGAGGAAGTAGAATAAATTATTGATGTTCTAGAGAGAGATACTTACCGCGTAAAGATAATTGAGTGACTTGTACGATTTTGAAGATCAAACTACTGATTAAAAATCAATAAACTTTGTGAATTTATGATGGTGGTGATGTACGAAAATTAAAAAGAAACATTATTTAATTTTAGATTCAAAATACAGAAGTAATATATATAGCCACATGAGAGAGAAAGAGGGAATGACCAGTTTCTTTTCCCTGTAATCTTCAATTTTTTTTCTTTTAAAACTTTAACACTTGTTGATATTTTATTGGACCACCTTAATGCGGCCTAAGGCAAACATTATTCTTTTTTAATAGCATTAGAAGTCGAGTTCTATTATATGGTTTGGTTTGAGGTTGACAGGAGTTCTCATTTGAATTAATTAGCGTATTTTGAATTAACAAAATTTTTACACAAAATCGTCACTTAACCAATATTAAAGTGGTCTTATTATAATTAAAATTATAATTAAAATCAACTCAAAATAATATAAAATAAAATATTATACAAGACAGTAAAAAATGATACCGTAATTTAATTTGGTCATATGAAGTCGAACCAAAGAAAAGTAAAAATTTGACTGATTCGTGTGATGTATTTTAAATGAATTTTGATACAAAATTTTGACTTTATAATCCTAATACAATTTGCCTTCAAATAGTTAGTGGCACGTCTCAATATTTATACATGATAGTGACAAAAAAGAGAGAGCTCATGACTACTCTTTCCAAAAATGTGTGGACAGTAGTATCTGTCATGTCCTAAAATGCTTGAGAGTGGAGAGAATTCCATTATGGATCACTAAAAATTGATCTCTCTTTTTCATTGTTGACTCACCAGGAAAGTCCAAGTGAAATGCATGAACAAAGAATTACAAATTATGAAGTTACAGAAGAGAAGAAGAAAAGAAAAAATAAATAAAAAGAGCACTGAAAAAGAAATAAAGAAAATTCCTTCAACAAAATTGAGACGGACTACTGAGAAACAAATGAAACAACTGAAAAAAATGATCAATCTCCACCATTCTCTACAATGCTTCTTTCATTGCCATTTTTATGATCAGAGAGCACTGACTTTAGCAGAATCATCTTCAATGAGTTGGGTGGAAGGACTAGAAAGATACTGCTTTAACCGAGCCATCTCCTGCGCTACATCCAACATAGTTGGTCTAGTTGAAGGAGTGTACTGTGTGCACATCAGACCAAGTTCAATCAACTCCAAGATCACTTCGCGCCATATCTTGTCATGGTATGCCCCGGTGGCATAAGGCACACACCTTGCAATTGCTTCTTCAACTATGGGGTCGAGCCTGTAAGGATAGTGACTCTTCACCCATTCATGCAAGCTCGAACCTTGGTGATCAAGGACATCTGTAGGACGTTTTCCGGCCACAATTTCTAACAGTAGTACTCCAAAACTGTAAACATCTCCTTGTGTTGAAGCCTGCCTTCCCATTCCATATTCTTCATTTGTTCAAGCAAAGATGCGAAAGAATTAGTTTATAAGAGTGTCACAGTTATTTTCAACCATATAATCTAAGTATATATTAGCTAGAAATTAACTTACTTACCAGGAGCAATGTAACCGATTGAACCACACAGCAAGCCATCTGTAGAGCTGTAGGAAGCTGTGTCATGATTAGAAACATTATCATCACTGCCTTTTACCAGCTTTGCAATGCCAAAATCGGTTACCAAGGCTGTCATGTCATCGTCAAGCAGAATATTGCTCGGTTTAAGATCACAGTGCACGACTCTGACCGGAGAATAATGGTGCAAATAAGCCATCCCTTCAGCTACATCACCACAGATGCTAACCAACTGAATCAAATTCAGTCCATGGCTTGACCCGTGGCATGGATATAAATGCCTTTCCAGGCTCCCATTCGGCATGAGTGGGAAAACAAGAGCTTTGAAGTCTGGCCTGCTGCAAATTGTTATGATCCTTATCAAATTTCTGTGCCTAGTCCTCTTTAGGACTTGGCATTCTCTCTTAAAGCTGCAAGAAACCTCTCCAGCTGTCTTCGCATCCAATACTTTCACGGCTATTCTTGTGTTGTCTTGAAGAACTCCCTTGTAGACAAAGCCAAATTGACCTGACCCAATTAGGCTTGAGCTTCTGAACCCTCCGGTGGCTTCAATGAGTTGTCGGTGAGAGATCACCGGGTATTTGTGCTCTTTCCTTTCTTGTTCTTCACCTTCCAAGTCCCCAATATTAAATACTGCCAATTGCCTCCTGAATTGTAGCTTGAGTACTAGAGGGTACCCGAATATGAAAAACGTGGCAATGGAAAATAGTGCAAGTACGATTGGCAAGAACAAGAAATGGTGTCCCCTTTTCTTCCTGCACTTCGGCATGCCTTCTATCGAACCACAGAGCTCATGATTGCCTAGGAAAGAATCCATGGTCAGCGACGAAAAGGCACCCTCAGTTGGTACATTTCCAGATAAATTATTGAAGGAGAAGTTGAGCCGATCAAGGTTTGAAGATGCCTGCAGAGATTGTGGTATTTCTCCAATTAAATGGTTAAAGGATACATCGAGTTCTTTGAGGTAAGGCAACTGGCCTATTGATACCGGAAGAGGGCCTTCCAAGACATTACCGGAAAGATTCAGGTTCTCTAGAGCAATGCAGCTCCCCAATTGTGGAGGAATCGTGCCAGAGAGATTGTTTGATGATAGATCAATTGCTAGCACCATATCCATCTTACTCAGCTCTAGTGGTATTGGTCCATTTAAGTGATTGCTAGATAAATTCAAGTACAGTTTCAAGCTAGTTAGTCCTGCAACTTCACTTGGAATCATCCCTGAAATTCTATTGTGAGAAAGGTCTAGAATCTCCAAGTTGATGCATTTGCCTAGACTTGGTGGTATTGTTCCCGAGAGCTGGTTTTCGTAGAGCAAGAGCCTTCTTAGCTGAGAGAGATTGGCAAAACTATCTGGAATCGAACCAGAGAGCTTGTTTATTGATAAGTCAAGAAGACCCAAGTGGGGAACATCACCAAAGGCCGATGGAATCTCGCCGGAGAGTGAATTATTCGACAAATAAAGCCTCTCAAGATGTCCCAATCGACACAGTTCAGGTGGGATTGAGCCATTCAAGAGATTACTAGACAGGTTCAGGAGTGTGAGATTGACAAGTTTCGAAAAATCAGGAGGAATAAAACCATAAATAAGATTCTCATCAAGATGAATCTGTACAAGATTAGTAGAGAGATCTCCAATAATAGAAGGAATCTCTCCTCCAAGATTATTTCCCGCCAATTCTAGTTCTTGCAAGTTAGAGGAATTTACTAAAGAAGCAAAAAAAGGTTTAAGGTCAGTGTTACCATCGTGGCTCACAAACTGGTTGTATGACAAGTAGAGAAATTGCAGCATTGGCATGTTATGTACAATCTCCAAAGGCAATTCTCCACTTAGTGAATTTGATTCCAAGTCAAGCCATTCAAGTTTCGAAGAGTTTGAAAGGGCTTGAGGAACTTGACCCACGAGCCGGTTTGACCAAAGAAGAAGAAACCTCAGATCCCTAAGCTCACATTGATTGCTCAAAGGTATTTTCCCACTAAGGGAGTTGTTAGAAAGGTCTATATACTGCAAAGAAGCAGAGCCATTGCAGAAAAGTGGCACGGGTATTTCACCGGTGAGTTGGTTGCTTCCCAAATTAAGATACACCAATTTGTGAAGAAAACCAAATTGTGTGGGGATGTTCCCTCGAAGAAGATTAGAAGACAAACTTAGCTGTTTGAGCCCGGAAAGCAATCCGAGCTCAGCAGGAATATGACCTTCAAAGAAATTACCTGACAAGTCAAGAATGGCCAAGTAAGACAGATTGGAGAGTGCCGGTGAAATGGTGCCTCGAAGCGAATAGCCACTAAGATCGAGCTCCACCACTCGATCTCTATCCACATTGCATCCAACACCAGACCAGTTGCATACATGAACACTCGACGAATTCCAATTTTTGAGAGCATATTGAAGGTCAGAAACAATCCCCGACATGAATGAAAGAAGTGAAGATTGATCACTCGAAATGCTAGCCGCAGTGTCTTGGCCAGACACCATGAGTAGTACTATAATCAAGAAGAGAAAACTAAATTTGGAAAACTTACAGAAACCCATTATTTTGATTGATTTGATCTTCTTCAGTGAGCTAAAAATTTGAAGAAAGAGATCGAAATCAATGAAGATTGAGGATGCAGAGGGGGAGAGGGAGTGTGTGGATGACACAATTGAAGTGGTTGAATCACTATTTATGGCTACAAGATGACAGATAAATTAAAGTTAGACACGTCCAATACAAAGAAGTAATGCAGAAAATTTAAACTTTGTGCCTAACTGCCGTTGAAGGATGGACGCTACGTTTGGCGCCTTATATTTGACTGTAGGGTCAAATGAATGGGTGTTGAACACGTGTGAACGTGTAACATGACACGTAGGCAACGTTACGAGCCGTGGACAATTGTTGATGTACATGTAAATAGGATTTAAGCCTAACCATAATACTATATCGATCAATAATGTTTTTTTTGCTTTGCTTGTCGGATTTGAGTAATTAGTGGATGATGTGTTGTTAGGTTGAAGATAATCTATTTTGAGCACGCTTAGGCCGGAGGGTAGGGTGATGTGGCAGAGGCTTTCTATTCTGGTAAATTTGTCGGCTGAAAAACCTGATATGATGCATTGTACTGAAAATCACACATTTCGAGAAATGTTACGATGCTCAAAACTATTTTTTGACAATTCTAATAAACAAAGTCTAATAAAAAAAATTATATAATAATGTGCCGAGATCGGATGTCGTACAATCTGAGTTTGATGTTGTCTAATACCGGCTGTACCGTAGAGAAACCAAACTCTGTACACACTTACAAGTGTGTGTTTTTATGGCCACGTTGGTAAACCACTATTTGCAAGTTACAGTAAAGGCTGTAAAGCTTAGGTATTGTGGTGTTTAAATTTAAAGGCAGTCAGCATGTGGTAGTAATGATGTTACAGAACAACTCTTCAAACATAGTGGCGCTATACGTTCACTTCAGACCAAGTGGACAGGCCGAGTAAGCCGACCTCTTGTTTAGCTGCTGAGTGCTGATGCAGGCATAGGAATTCACATTAGCCTTTTCTTGGTTTAATCATTTATCACTTGTCACAATAGCAATGACAGACCGTAATTTTTTTTGGGGAGGGTATTTTAATCTTTTTGAACATAGGAAGAGTGTAGCAAGATAAGAAGTAGTTTTCAAGATTCAAATAATGTCGTAATATATAAAATAAAATAAAGTACATGCAGTTCTCCGATCCTACATGCATCAGGACTAGCAAAATTTCTTAGGGGATAGTCCCCGTAAGAGATTAGTTGAGCTTCGCACCTCTTTAAAGTTATACTAGTTTCTTTAAGGATGGTGAATAAATAAGAAGAGAGAGAGCTAATTTATGCTTCATTGTATGTACATTACTCTTTAAAAAAAAAAAAAAAAAAACAAAACAAAACAAACCCTTAAACAGTCCAACACTGTATTCACACTACGCGTGCTTGGAATTTGATACAAACACATGAATAAGAACTGAGGCTAGATATAGGCAGGTTCAAAGAGGTTTCTGTTATTGTAGTTGTGCATAAACAGATTTGAGAATCATCAATCTAATTCTAATGTGAATATTGATGGTGCGTCTTGCAAGTAAAAATATAAGAGGCTGCATTGACGAGAATATGTTAATAAAAACTTTCGGCTAGGATGATATTATTATAAGATGTGGTGCTTGGAAACCAAGAAAATGACTTTGTACAAGGTATAAAAAAGATCTACAGAGAATCACAATTCCATTGAATATTGAGGCTGCAAGTTAAATTAATATGAGAGGTAAGAGGTTATGTAGCATAAGCCCAACCCCAGTTGCACTTTATTTGTGTCCCTTTTTCATCAATTGCCCTTTATGTATGCCAAAAGGCAAAGTTAAGAGTTGGGGTTTCATAATTTAATTTGAATTGTTGTGAATTCATGACTAAAAAGTGTTCAATGAGTGTTTAAGCTGAAACTTGAGCAAAGGGCAGTATAACCTGAATAATTGCATATCTTGAATTCAACTGTCCTCGGGATATAAGGAATGATATATAGACAAACTTAAGAATGCCGACCACTTAACTCAAAAAAATTTGTTATTGGGTAGCGCAGCATTCCCACTCATAATACAATCTCGACATCATATTGAAAACCGAGATTATGCGGGGTTGCAGGATATTCCCTTCTATACCACAAGACAATATACCCAGTGTATTGCAGTACCATATGACAATGCTCATCCACTGTCAAAAGTACTGGAAGAAGTTTTCTGATATCAACTGTCAAATTATGCTTTGCTGATAACATTATGGTCAATTTTGCTACTACCAAGAAACTACTTTTAGAATTATTTTATTACCTAAACAAGAGGGAAGAGTTACAGTAACAACAAAGATGAGATAAATCATGTTTGTTTTCCCCTTCAATTCCACGCACCAGTTCTCCGCATGTAAGTGAAAATTGACAGAAACATCAGTCTACAAAGGAAATACAAAGAAAGAAAAATGAATCCTACAGACTCTTGATCAATTCTTTGCTCTAAGAGAGTTGTTTTCTTTGATCCTTGCTCGGTTGTCCAGCTTAACAAAACGTTTGAGATCCTCGTAAGGGAGAGTTTCAATTTTTTTCCTTCTTAGCTCACTTAATGCAGGACGCTTATCCACCAGGCGCCACAGCCAATCAGGGTATTCAGAATCTGGCAAAATTTTGGGATCTGCTCCATCCTTGAGGATATTGGCACCAACCACTGTAGTGGATTTTACTTCCTTGCTCAGAGTTGACTTTGTACCATCAGCTGCTCCACCCCCTTTGGAACCCTTCTTTGCTTTACCCCCGGCGGAAAATGTTCTGTGACCCACCACCTTAACTTCTTCCTTGATGATGATAATACTTCTCAATGATCTGATACTATTCATTGCCATCTCTTTATCCCTGTAACATCAATGATCACGATTACACGGAAGACTCACGTCCAAGATATAAATATTCAAGTATGTTTTTTCACATATTTCTATTTATCTGCTGCATGTGTTCTCTTTAAGAAATAATAAATGAAAATAACAGCAAACAGATGTTGATTTCTTTTAACCCACAAAGTTCATAAAATAACATTTGCGAGAAAACATTCTAGCAGTAAATTAAAATCCCTTTGAAGAAATAATACTGCAGTACCGTCGTAAGTTTATTTCCTTCATTGGCCTTTAGGTCAATTAGTGATCTGAAATCTTTTATGCATATCCTACATCATATTAATTAATTACAGTGCAGAACCCAGCAAAATTCAAGGATCGCGATCTTTAGAAAATAAAATAAAATAAAATAAAATATAACTCAATGATCATTAAAGTACTATCTCTATAAGTTGCATCTAGTAGAACTTAACCATAATATCAAACTTCCAATACCATGAGTTGCATTTCCAGAGGAATTATTTAGCTTCTTGGAAGAGCATTGTCCTAAGAACAATTATATAATGTCAGAAATCCAGCTTAATTTACCATGGTTCAAGAGATGCAGATGCAGCTCATATATGTTTGCTGTAAAGATCCAATGAAGTCATACCAAAACCAATTGAATTAATCAAAAAAGGTATATGAATGCTAAAATTGGTTCTAGTTTACCAGTCTATTAAAGGAAGACCAAAGCCAAATTACATCATCAAATCCATAAATCCGTTGAAGGAAGTGTGTTTTCTACATCAAATCCTGGGATAATTCTACTGAATTATTTTAGTCATCTTTCTTGATCCAAGACATGGCTTCATGAAGCAGAAGCATGCGAGTTCAACGCCAAACTCCAAAATAATTATAAACCATGTCATTTGAGCCGTAATTGCCCTACAAAGACACTCAAACTCCACAATTGCCTCTCTTATTTCACCTTCAAAATGTTGGATGCTCAAGAATAAGATTAAGACCCCAAGGCTTCTCCTTGGTTGGAAATGAATTCAAATGTGCCGAGCCCATATGAGGGGCTTAGTTGAATTTTCCCTAATATAACCCAAATTGGATTCTTATTCAGTAAAGGCATTACCCAGTGTGGTGTGATCCCATTAATTAAGGGTGACAGCACAGGTAGACTAGGTACAATGTAACCTTTGATAGCACAAAGTGGTTCTTCATTCATCAAAATTTTTACAAAAAGTTTCTGATTTCTCCCATCATAAAAGCTACAATTCTATTCCCTTCCATCACAAAAGTGTGAATAAAAATACGTATCAGTTTCTCAAATAGAAAGATTCATTATTTTTTATTTTTTATTTTTATTCTCTCATGAAATTTCGATTAAGAGAGGCTTACAAACAATAAGATTTGAGCAGAGGCATTCCACTTCCTCAATTCACGAGATCTAAGCCTAGCAAGCACATTTTATTGATAAAAATAGATAATACACCAAACAATTAATTACTTATCGAAAAAAAAAAAAAAAAAAAAAACACCACACAATTAATTACAAACATATGAAACAAACATTTGATGTTGATTATAAGAAAATTATAAGCATGGAAGATTAAAATCCACTAATTCCCATTACTTGATTTTCTGATCCTAAAAATCAGCCCAAGTTTCAGATTTCAACCTTCAATTTATACCCATACAGAGAATGAGTTATCAAACAAACCGGTGGCTTACAAATAATAAAAAATTAAAAAATAATGTAAAAAAAATAATTGCTACAACACGGATTATCTCAAAGTGTTATAAAAGGCTCATTAAAAAAATATAATAATGAATTACAGCTATATATCTCAATTGTTCACATTTCAGAAACCCTAATCCCAAATCTAATTTAGAGCATTGATACAAAAAGAAGAAGAAGATAGATTTAAATCACCTGAGTGAAGATCGGCGAAAACAGCAGCTAATGAACGACAGAGATGAACATGGTAAGTTTCGTTTCGAACGGCGGCTTCGCTCCTGGAAGAGTTAAACTGAGCGAGACCTGGAGAGCGTGAGATGATCATGGGGCGTGTTTGGTCGCTTCTGGGCCGATCAAAGTGGGCCCAAAACAGCAACCCAAATCCAACCCCCTTCATTTAGTCTGACCCATTTATAAGTGATAATTACAAGGATATGATGATAAACCCCGCATTCTTAAAATAGAATATGTAAAACCACCCAAATTATAATTTTTGTGAAAGATAGATAGAAATATCCTCTATTGCACTGAGGTTAGAACCTAATGTCTCATTGAAAAGTTGGAATATGGTACGTTAGGTGACATATTGATTATCTATCAATCAATACTTATTATTATTGAAGAAATTTATATTTATTTATTTATATAAATAATAGACTCTTAAAAAATCTATATCACATGGAATATTTTTGTTGAACAACAAAATTATTATAATTTAGGCTCCATTTGCTTTGACGTAAAATATTTTCTTTGAAAAATATTTTTTTAAATATAAAATATATATATTTATTTATTTGGATGTTTGATAAAAATCTAGGTCTAGTCTATTAGATAGGACATGTAAAATATCTTGTCGAAAATTGATGAGTAAGTTATTTTTGTTTGGTTTTAATTTTTTGTTTATTCGTAAATATTTTACAACGTCCAAACAAACCGACCCTTAATATTCTATATAACGTATTCAAGATATATTATTATTATTATTATTTTTTTGTCACTTGTTATTCATTATAATTAGTATTGTTTTGTTGAATAACAAAAGTTAGTTTAAGAGATAATTTAAGTATAATTTTGTTGCAAATTAGATTTACACGGCGTAAATTTTTACTGTGTAAGCGTAACTAAGTCATTTTATGAAGAAAAAAAATTATAAGTTTTAATGGAAGGTTGTTGAGCATACATCCAAATCTTAAGGGAGGTCCAAACAATAAATCCACTTCACTTGTGTGAAATTTGATCGAATCTCAAGAAAGGTTATTATAATTTACCCTACATTTAATCACCGAGAATTCGACTCATCACATGCAATGAGTTATCGGTATCAAAAGGTACCAACTCTCCACAATTACCCAGTTTCATGTAGACATGATCCCATGTTATTTTTGGATCTATTACCTTTTATTACAATTAATTTTTTTCAATCGACACAAATATTTATATAAAGAATTGACCAATTAAGTAGAAATTTATGGGCCAAAGATCAAACAAGCAACCATTTTGTTGTTAGGGCATGGCCCATCACTAGTATCTTGGTCGGTTAATTCAAAACCCAATTGTTTTGTCACTCTAATATCATATAGGAGATATGATCCAAACATGATTAGTGGGAAGTGAGTTTTGGACGCTATGGCAACTAGTAGTATATTTGTTAAAATATTTTTATTTCCTAAAAAGGGTTTTATTTTGTGCCTGGACAACACAACAGTACTCACCAATTGCCTACCAAAACAAAACAAAACAAACTCATGAGTCAATTCGAGTCCAACAAGGACAAGAAGCTTGCAACCAAAGTAAGAAAGAAAGACGGTGAATACATTTTATATATATATATATATATAATGTATTCACCGTCTTTCTTTCTTACTTTGGTTGCAAGCTTCTTGTCCTTAAAATCAGGTCGGATTAGCGCTACTATATATACATCCTTTAAAATCAATATAACTTAAATTACTTGTACAAGACACAACAAAGTTAGATCGAGACTATGGCTGTGGTTGAAAGGATTTGTGACGCAGAAGTTCGTGTGTTCAAGTGGAACGAAAGTGAAAGGATTTCTAGTAACGAGGTTGAAGGAGTGTTGATGGTTCGTGTATTATTTGGGGAAATCAAAACTGGATTCCTAAAGAAGAAGATTCAGAGGAAGGTACGTGCATTTTCATTCAATTTCGACAGCTTACAGTCTCGAGACTCTTTAAAATCATTGGCGGATTTGTCTAATCATCTACCCCAACAAATTTTCTTGAAAGAAAGCAATGCTCGTATTCTATCAGCAATGATATTTGAGAATTTAGTTGGTAATTTTCAGTTTACCTCCATATTAAATTCGTCATCTCCTTCAAGAAAGCCCAAGATCGTCATCGTTATAGATGCTTTTGTGGAGAGTTCTCCTTTGCTCGAGGAAGACTTTCCTAATGAAGAAGAAGAAGAAGAAGAAGAATGTAGTAGTTGTGAATATGGAAACATTGAACAAGAGATGGCTTCATCAAATACTTTATCAGTGGACGGAAATCATGATCAACAACAAGAAGAGACTGAGATACTCGACATGGACTATGACTTAACAGATTTAGAAGTTGAAGAAGAAGGTGAAGTTGACAGTGATGTTGAATTAGAACAAGCAATTGAGGATGAGGAGGACTTGATGGACGATGATAATATTGTCTCAAACATTATGGTTGACAAGAAGGGTGATTCTTTGGATATTCTAAGCGCGCTAAGGTCTAATCTACTTATTGAACCAATTGCAGCAACCCATGAACCATATGTTCTCAAGCAAATTGAGATTGCAGTGAAGGTGACGAGATGGATTGATGATGATAGAGCTGCAGCAGACACGTGTTCGATATGTTTGAAGAAGTTCTTGATGGGGACACTGATCTCAACCACGCCATGTTCACATGTTTTTCATAGGAGTTGTTTGAAACGATGGTTGCCAAAAAATAGTTCCTGCCCAATGTGCCGAACACTTTGCGCTACCATAGTTCATATATAATTAGTTTAAGTTGTTATGTCTTCAATTAATTTGTGTTATTCAATGTACTGGCAATTAATGATGTCAAAGCCTCGGTCTCTTTAATTTTGTGATTCAAGTGTTATAAGTACCTTATTTTTTAACTCATCGTGTTCAATAAGAGTCTTTTGTACAGATGGTTTTTAGAATACTCCATGCCCTATCAAGGTTATATATAAAACCAGGAGAATGTTTTTGACTCTGATCCTCCAACCATCCTTCAAATAAGAAGTACTAACAGATTGATTGACAAGAATCATAGATTGCCTTATGATATTATGATTTTAGTGATATTCTTCTTAATTTGAACATTAACTAAGTTTGTTTGTTTCGATGTAGAATATTTTTTTCGAAAAATATATATTTTTTTTAAGTAAAATATTTTTTACTTTTACTTATTCAGTATTCGGCAAATGTCTAAATCGAGATTGAAGTCGAGCCCATCGGACAGGACGTGTAAAATAACTTGCTGAAAATTGATAGGTAAATTATATTTGTTAGATTTTAATAATTTTTTTTTTCTTAAATATTTTACGATAACTAAACACCAAAAAATAAAAAAATATTATACACCCAAACAAACAAATGGAGCCTATATGTTTAACATTAGTTATAATCAAAGTATTATACTACGCAATTATTAAATAATTCAGGGCAGTTACCTGTTTGATGCTGCATAAAAATAATCTGACAAATCCAAAGTTTGCGCTGAATGTTGCAGTATTTGTTTTGTTGGAGGATTTGTTTTGTAGCTATTATTCACATTTCCAAACATAAATCTTCGTACTGTTTAAAAAAAATTATAACATTTTATTTCAAATTTCATTGATATTTTTCTTGGAATGGGTATACTTCTAAAACTTTCAGTTTTTTCTTCTTGGATGAGTGTTCATTAAATTAAAAAAAATACTAAGCAGCATAATCAATACAACTGTTATTTTTGAGTAATTTTTAAAAATAGATGAGACTAATTTTATAGAATAATATATTTTTATTAGTTCGGCATATCAATGATATGTCATTTACGTTGTGCTGAATATATTCTTACAAAATAAAAGTCAGAAGGTTTAAGTAACTATACGAAAATCATAAAAGACTGTATAGTTGTAGTTGTAGGGAGTGTGTTAGTTTTTTGCCAAAATAAAAAATAATAATAATAATAAATAAGTAAATAAATACATTACTTGTTGCATGCAGAGAAGTTTACTTTAATATATATATATATATATATATTTTAAAGATAAGAATATTATTGGTTAGAGAAGAGGGGGAGGAGGATACAGGGCTCGAAGGCTCGATCTGCACACCGTGACTGATCCAATCTTTGAAACAACGTGACACTTGCAAAGTTCACTCTAAAGTTGATGCATCAAATTCAATTGGTCATAATTTCATAAATAGGTTAAAACCCATTCGATATAAATCAATTGACCAATTAAAAATAAAGTAATTTGTTTTGAAATTTTAATATCCTAAAAACACGACCCAATTATACATAGACATGTGTGGGGAGTCCGGTTATATTTGCCAAAAAGTTTCTAATTTATGCGTCTGCTTCATATCCACGCAAAACCCCGCGACCTAGTCCAACAAGGACAAGAAGTTTGCTACTAAACTTGTAGCACACGATTTCTATATATATATATATATACACACACACACATCGGCGCAAGAGGTTTTTTAGAGAGTGATGGCTCTGCTTGAAAGGTTTTCTGGAGCAAAATTTCGCGTGTTTGAGTGGAAGGAGGAGTACTTCTCCGGCAGCGGCAATGAGGGTTGGGAAAACAAGGGACTGTTGATGCTCCGTATATTCACTGGTGTTGATGTTGGGAAAGACGTCACTGGAATATTCCCAATTAAGGGCGGTGATGTTTTCGAATTTGATCTCGATTACTTACTTTCTCCGCACACATTACAATTTTTGTTGGATTCACTCATAGTATCCGAACTAAATTTCTTGGAAGAAATCGACTCTCGTGCTATCTCGGAAACTATGTTTACTTACCTTGATAGTAATTTTCACTTTACCCCCGTCGACTCAAACTCCACCAAGCCCAAAATCGTTATCGCTGTAGATGTTTTTATGAACATATTAATTAATTTTTCTGATGATGGAGGAGGTGAAGAAGAATTTTGCAATACTTTATCAATGGTGGATAACTATGATCAAGAAGAAGAAGAAGAAGAAGCTGAGGACATGGATGATGATTCGTCGGATTCAAAAGTTCAACAACATGAAGTTAACTATGTTGAAGAAGAACAAGGAACTGGAGAGGAGGAGGATTTGATGCATGATCATAATTATGTTTCAAATTTATTAAGGAATGATCATCCGGATATGTTGAGCAGATTAAGGTCTTACGTAGGTATTAAACCAGTTGCGACGCATGAAGCTGACGTTTTGAAAGAAATTGAGATTGCATTGAAGATCAACAGATTGATTGACGACGATCATAGATTAGCAGCAGATAAGTGTCCCATATGTCTGCAGGGGTTCTCGAAAGGGATGGATGTCGCAACCACGCCATGTTCACATGAATTCCACTGTGATTGCATCAAAGAATGGCTGTCATATAATAATTCTTGTCCACTCTGTCGATTACTTTGCGCCACCGTAGTTCATGTATAACTAGTTTATGTTGTTATGTAGTCTTTTATTGTGTAAGATTTTGGATCTATTGGGCCACATCCCAATCATTGTTCATCCTGTGCAGTTCATGCACAATTTGGAAAATATCAAGGAAACAGTTCAAAGCAGTCACTTGATTCATCCTGTGCAGTTTGGTACATAATTTTCACAATTTGTCTCAATTTTTATGTGGAGGATTTCCTTCACCTACTATTAAAATTAAAACTGATGAGAAAATATAGCATTTTGTATTAATCTTTATTGCCATTGTCCTTTCCAAAAGTTACTTTGAACCTTCTTACTTCTTAGCAAACAAGTTTGAGCTTGAACACACACAAAGAGTAGTAGCATGAAAATTCAAGAACACACGCAATGAGATGTGGCATGAAAATGCATAGTGTGAAAGAGAGACCCATCAGAAAGTTAAAAGTAGCACCTCTTACATGGGGCCGGCTAAGAGTTTTTATTCTTCTATTGTCAAATGAACTTATATTTTTGGATTAATTTATACCTATGAAGTAATATGGCATTGAAATAATTTTTTTAAATTACACCCTTATATATGGGTGAAGTGCAGAAAACACCCTAATATATACTCTGCATAGCACTTTTATTCCCTTATTTAAAAAAAATATGCAAATAACACCCTTATTCTTAGGGGTGCACACGGTTCCGGTTCCACTTCCTACGGAATCGGAACCAGTCCCAACAGTAATTAGAAATTGGAATCGGAACCGTTGGGATATGGAACTGAAACCGAACTAAATCAGTTCTACATTGAATTGCAGATTTCATTGAATTGAATTGCATATTTCATCTCCCTCATATTCTTCCTCTATCGTCTATTCTCATCTCTTCTTCACTCTCTCCTCCCTTTCTTCTTCTCTCTCTCTCTCTCTTCTGGATTCTACTTCTCACTTTACTTCACTCTCACTACTCTCTTTCTACATCTGATTCTACATCACTTCTCTCTTCCCAGTCTACTTGTGTTCTTCATCATTTGGTATCACAGCTTTTGCCTCTTACATCAATTTGATATCAAAGCTTTTGTGTCCTACATCAACCTTTCTTGTAGAGAAAGAGAAAAGCCAAATATTAACTTCTTGATCTCAAAACTGAGGCGGTTAAAAGAGAGACCATATATGATTAGGAGTCCCCTCTATCAGCTTTATTTATATATATATATTTGATAAGTAGCGTTATTTATATATATAACTGGCACACAATAACGGATCAGAGAGACACGCCATGGGTGGCCTCAAAGGAGCAAGTTTTCGTGTGTTCGAGTGGAAGCAAAAGCTTAATCAAGTTTCTGATTCTCAAGGACTGTACATGCTTGGTGTACATGTCGATGTCAAGAAAAAACTTCCTCATGGTACTGGTGTTGACGAAATCGGATACTTTGAGAATCGTTTTGTTAATGTATTCGAGCTCTAAAGCTTACTGTCACGAGATTCCATAGTTGTGTGGCTGTAGACTCAAAAATTTTCAAAAATCGACGGTACTGCTCTTGTTCTTGCACAACTTATGCCTGTCGACCTTAATAATGGTTTCTACTTTACCATACTCCGTCCCAGAAAGCCTGTGTGTTCGAAGATTCTTGTAAAGATGATGATGATGAACATGTTGATTGGGAGTGAAGTAGCCAAACAACAAGAGATAGCTGATATCCGATGCTGATTCAAAGGCTTCACAAATTCAAAGAAGAACTTGAAGTAAACTATCTTGAAGAACAAGGACCAAGGGATGACTCGGAAGATCATAATGTCTCTTTTTAACAGATACGAGGGGGAAAGCTTGCATGACTTTTGGGACATTTTGTGTACGCTAAAGGTTGTCTAGACGAACCAATAGCGACCTATGAAACAAAAGTTTTGAAACAAATTGGGGCTGCAGTAGCAGATATGTGTCCAGTTTGTCTGCAGGGATCTTGAAGGGGATGGTGTTTGCAACGACCCCTCTGCCGGCAGATACATGTTCGCATGCATTTCATAGGGACTGCTTGTTACCATGGTTGCCGAAGAATAGTTCCTGCCCAATGTGTCGATCACTTTGCACACGCACCATGGTTTATCTGTAATAATCAGTTTTTGTTATGTCTTTATTTCCAGAATTCTGGTCAATTTTCATTTTGCAAGCATCAAATACGTGTATATGATGAAATTTTGAGACATATACAAATATATATATATCAAATTTCAGATGGTTTATCAGTAAGTATGTTGCAGGAAGAACTTTTTTACTAACAAAGGTCAAGCATTGACAGACACAGAGAAACATAGCTTTCAAAATGCATCACCAAGGAAGATAATTAATGAACAAAGCTATGTATTTAATAAAAAAATAAAACTCTTTTATAATCTAGATCCATATATTATCCAGTAAATAAACAAAGGCAATCAGTAAACACACAACTTTCAATGTCACCTGTTTTTTCAGTTACAATGCCTACAGCAACAGTTCTTCCTGATGCTCTTAGGTATGCCCTCCCAAGAGCCTTGCAGCTAGAAAACTCCTCCACGCAAACCGCTCCTTGCAAAATGAAATATGATAAACAGACTCATCAGACCAGGCTTTAATAATTTGAGCAATTCGTTCCACACAACCTTAACAGTTTTTATTTCCATTTTAACAAACCTCAACTACTGCACTCTTGGTGCCTGCTTTGTCACCTTTCCAGTCTTTGGACCGAGTAATGACAATAACCTTACAACTCTAGTTTATGGTCCAACTGACCAATTCAATGTGCACCACCATAAGTCATAAGAACAGCAATTATTGCCATTTTAACAAACCCCAAGCCCAGCCCTAAATCTATACACTTGGATGACTAACATCAGATGGATCACTTACAATAGGAAGATTTAATTGGGTCAGTCTTATCTTCTGCTTGATCAGCCAGTATCACTTCTCTGGTTTATACTGAAATTATTAGATAGCTCTTCCAGCAGTAATATTATTTGAGGATTAAGATTTAACATTCAAAGACGTCAGGCTACTGGAAGGACCTTGTGGCCATGCAGCATATGCTCGTTATCTGAAGAATTGGCTTCCTCCACAATTTTGTGTCTGCTTTCTGACTTTGACGCTGAAGAATAACAGACCATTTGGCATTAACTGAAACTCGACAGCAGTGTTCTGACACTTGACAAAACATCTAAAGAGAATAAATTATTGAAGTTGGCTGCAAAAATAAAGTACCATCATAAAATAATATTAGTCAAATTCTACACAAGGAATGTCAAATTCTGCACGAAAAAACTGCATAAGTAACATACTCTCTTCCTGTCCTTAATCAGTGTGTCACCATAGCTCTGCTCTTTATTTAGATATTGAGTTTTCCTTATAGATGAGGCTTGCCTAATTGAAAAGTTTGAACTTAACAAAATATTACATCTTTGAAAATAAACAAATACCAGATGTCTAAGATTCTTAAACACTATACTTTCAAGCAGAACACAATCATTTGTTTTGAAATATAAGTGAAATAATAAAGTGTAATCTACGAACAAAAAATATATATATATATATATATATATATATATATATATATATATATATATATTATCTGACCTTATTGAACTCAACTCAACAAAAAATTGTACCATCCATTTGAGAGGGAGTAAAAGAACACTTGTTTCACGACTTTCGCCAACTTCAGAGGCAAAGTAGTCCTTAGAAAAATTATGAAGCGATACCTGAAATCTGAAGAACTCAATAATTTGAGCCACAGGAAGTGGAGTCGATCCGTACATTTTTGTTGTAATAGTCCATAAAAACTGTAGTCTCGAATGCTAGAGGTATACTTGGTCCTAAGAATGAAGAAATTGGCCAAAGCGTTACAAAACATTGATTTGGGTAAGTGAGACCAACATCTCACTTTTCATAAGAGGTCATAACTACAAAATGTTACACTTTTTGAAGCAAAGGAACAAACACATCAACTTAGATTATCAAAACTTATGCAGCATAGAATGCCACATGGGAAATTAGAGAATTCTGTAAAATGAAAAAATTAGCTAACATTCACAGACACGCTAAAGGTTGCTGGCATGCAGAAAATAGAATACTTCCCACACACGACATTTCAACATCAAAATCGATTTTATATTTACTCGGATATAAGCAACGGCTTATGAAATTGTGCTTACTCAAAAAATGAAGGAAGGAAGTGTTAATCCACTAAATGGAAGCCAGTGGACTCTAAATGACTGCCCAAAAAAAAAAAAAAAAAATCATTTAGAAACCTTAATAAAATAACGGAGGTAGTAACTTATCGAAAAAAAAAAAGACAATCGAGGTCAGTCAAATCCAATCAAGCTAGATTCTTGACCATATTTATATGAAAAGAATCACATGATTGGTTGGCCAGGATATGGAGTTCTTGACAAATTAGTATAAAGCCAAATAATGCAACCAACAGCACACTACAGCTGAAATTATGAATTTTATAACCTTAAAAACAAAGCCATACTTCAGATTTCACGAAAAACTTCGCAGAAGTGTGGAAGGAGACAAGATACAATTTTATTCTCCAAAAGATCTATTTCAATTAGTCATAGAGAGTTAATAAATGATAAATATAACTATTAATAACATGCATATTCTTAGTATTTTGATAACATGCAGATTCTAAGTATTTTGATAAGTAAACAGAATCTACTAAAAATGGCAAATTGGGGGTCCAATGCATGTACATGGGAGGTATACAACTTTATACAAAAGCCAGTAAAATAACTCGTATCTCTCAAAAACTCTACAAATGAATCTCAACTTCGGTATATAAAATATTCAAGAAAGAAAAATGATTGGTCCCTGAGGAACAAATCATTTTCCGAAAGCATCCGGCACCACTGTTGGATGCTTTAGGAGTGGTTTTGGTTATCTGTTTTCAAAGGACCTATCACCACTCTTCAAGAAACGAGTTGATTTATAAAAGGAGAATATTGTATGTAAAGTGATTTAAGTAACACTATATGAATATATGATCTTACGACATACAACACTCTTCTACACTTATGAAGCCACTAAAATAACTCCTCTCTCCCAAAAACACTACAAAAGAATCTACAGACCATGCTCTCGAAAGTATTGGTTTCAATCTTTAAGCAGGAACTGGGAAACTACTCTCCTTCAAATTCCAATTCATTCCCTGCAAAATGCTTCACAACAAGCAAACGGAGCTACATTCCATACATTCCTAGATCTCAGGCTCTTACAACCTTCCCAATCCTCTAAGCACATCAATTATAGTCTATGTTACCCGGACTCGGGTACGGGTGTCGGACACGGGTACGTGTCTAGAGGTCGGATCCACCAATCTATTCAATTATAGGACACGGGGACACGGAATAAAAGTGTCCAAAATTCGGACACGGGTACTTGGACACGGCATACAAAATATTAAAAAATGAAAAATCATATTAGTGAAAGTTTGATAGATTTAATCATATAGGCAACTAAGCATGGCATAAGGGGCAGCAACAAACAAGATAACTTAGATAAGTAAGAGATGATGTTAATTCACAATTGTTAAATAAGTTAAATAACTAAATAAGTACCTTATTGAATTGAGTCAATTGACTGAATTCTCACACTTGCACCACATAGATTCGGATTTCAGCCTTCACTCTTCAGTCACACAGCATACAAATACAACACCACAGGTCCACAGTCAGACTCTGCACTTCAAAAGTTTGCACCTGAAAAGGCTGAAATATTATTTGAAATTTATGTTGTATTGACATTAACATATTGTTATGAACTATTGAACTTATGAAAAAATAGAAAAAAATAAACAAATACAAAATTGTTGAGTAGAACTGTATAAAGATTAAAGACAGAGATGTTAGAAACTTAGGAATCTTAGGACTTTAGAGTTTAGAATTTCATAATGAACTCAAAGACTTTAAACTTTAAACCATAAGGTCCATAATTATATATCATTCATATCATAAAGTCATACACTAACAGATTACCAATAGGCAATAACAACAATACCAACTGCTAAGTGCCACCAACTACTAAGTAAGCAAGTACCAACAACTGAACAAGGTAACAACTTACAAGGCAACATTCCAAAAATTTAAAACAAAAGGCAAAAGTTATATCATAATTCATATAAAGAGATAAACATAAGAAAAACAAAAGCCAAAAGGTACGTATAGTTCATCTTTTGCTTCATTTCTTCAATCCATCATTCCTTGTTGGAATTCTTCAGTTGCTTCACTCCCTAAGGTAGTACTCTCTTCAAACTCTTCATCAAATGTCAAAGCTCTAACTCAGGCTCATTGATGGAAAGCTCCACAAGTTCCCCAAGAGTATTACCATAAATATCAAACTTATCACCACCTATTAAACAAAATAAATTAATAGTGATGTAAAAAAAAACTAAAAATATAGTAAAAGAATATCTATGAAAGTCCTGTTGGAGATATTTAAATTTAAAAGTAAGTTTATGAACTTACACAAGTCCCAATACTTTGTTGGCCCTTCCTTGTATTCTTTCTTTTTTCTTGACAAGAGACGGAGGTTGCAATGTACGAAGACCAAATCCTCAGCTCTACTTGTAGTCAATCTGTTTCTTTTGATGCTTTGAATAAGAGAATATGTACTCCAATTTCTTTCGCAACAAGATGATGATGCGGGCTGTGAAAGCAACTTGAATGCTAAAGCTGGTAACATTGGTGTTGAAGCACCATGATTAGCCCACCATGAAATTGGTTCCTCATACAATTTTGCATCAATAACATGAGGCTCATTAAAGTAACCAGATCCACTTGAAAAAGCTCCATATTTGATATAAACTTTCGAAGATCATCTTGATTGCTAAACAATCGTTTGAAACATTTGCTTCTATTTAAAGAAACCTCTTGATCTTCATGTGGTGAGAGCCGTGGAACTCCATCACTTCCACCTCCAATCCAAGCTTTAGTATAGTATTTAGGAACTAATGAATGAGCCATACAATGCAGTGGATTGTTGCTTTTATTCCATCGTGTCTCCAAAATATTGTGAATGACGTCAAAGAAATTAGATTGACCAGTGAGCAGATCTTGTTTTTCATGTCCAAATATTCTAGATTTAACTTTCTCAATCATTGTGTCCCACATATCATAAATCAAATGGAGAATAGGAGCATCAGTGTCTGCTAACCTTAGAAATTCAACAATAGGCTCAGTAAAATCCAAGAGATATTCAAAATCAGCCCACCAACTATCACTCACAATGGAAATTTTAACTTCCTTAGCCTTGATTTCAATTGCTGATTTTCTATCCCATTTTAGATGCATTCTCCAACTTGGATCCATCACCATCTTCTCAAGTGCATCCTTCACTTCCCTCATGCGTTTTACCATAATAATGCTTGATGCAAATCTTGTTTCCGCTACTCTTAGCAAACCCAATTCCGAGTAATTGTTGAAAATTGAAAGTACCATGCCATGGTTAACAATGAAATTTCTTATATTTTGCACACTACTCACCAAATTAGCAATCCATTTACATTCAGCAAATTGAGGTGAATTTTCAGATGGTTCACAAATACTTTTTAAAGCTAAATTTAGGCAATGCACAACACATGGAGTCCAAAATATGTGAGGATATATACCTTCAATTATGGCCCCAGCAGCCTTGAAGTTATTTCCATTATCAGTAATCACTTGAACAACATTTTGTGAACCCATTTCTTGGATCACGAGTTTGAACAGATTTGCTACATAATCAGCATCCTTTATGTTGCCACTTGCATCAACTGCCTTTAAGAACATTGCACCACCTACCGATGCAACCATTATGTTAATCAGTGGCCTTCGTTGTCTATCCGACCACCCATCAGAACAAAGGGACATGTTTTTCTTTTTCCAAGTATTTTTTATTGGTTGGAGCTTGCAATTCACATGTGCTTTCTCTTGGGCTAGCAATGTTGTTTGTAATCTATCGAATGTTGGAGGAGTATAGCCAGATAACTTGCTGTTGGCTAATGTGAGTGAATATTTTCTGAAGTGAGGGCACTTTGCCAAGTTGAAGGATAAACCAAACGCATAGAACATGCGAGCAGCTTGCTTATTTGCCACATCTCTTTATGTTACATTAAATGTATTTTCCAGCACTCCTGGAGCTGATGCCCTTCTTTTTTTGCATTGCAACAAATCTGATCCTTCAGGCAAGGACAAATAATCTTCCTTCTTTCTCATATTCAATTCTTCTTGACCTTTTTTGCTTTCAGAATGGCCATGTTCCTTCTTTAATGCTTGAGATACATCATTATTGATAGACTTGCAAGCTTCAACCCCTTGATTAGGAATCTTCAATAAATGACCCTTCACTTTTGAATAGGATCCAGTAACCTTTTTGTTGCAATAATTGCAAGACCAGGTTCTGTTTCCACCTCCACATACTGGTAGGCTAAGAACCTTCACATGATTCTATAATGGTTTTTCATCAAATTCTGACCCTAGAGCTTTTGATGGTCGTAGGTTTCTCTTTCCTTTCCCTTTGATAGATTGTTGAGATGGAGAGGACATTGTATCCGAACTCTAAAGCACAAGTGTATATATAAATGCATGATATATTTAATGAATATAATCAAACTTAAAAGAATAAATTATCAAAAAAAATTCTCAAAACTTAAAAGAATAAATTTATTCCAGTATCAGTTGTATCAATTAATTCAATTGTATAATCAATGAATGCATAAAGGAAATAGTACGTTCTTGGCAGAGACAATTGATTCTAACTGGCGCCTTCCCAAGTTACTAAAAGGTGGCTTTCGGTTTTCTGACTACTGGCAGACAATTGATTTTGACTTCTTCCTCTTCTTTTCTGTCTTACTAATTCTGCCATGAGAGAGAGAGAAAAATTATATATACCTATTGTTATAAATTATAATGAACATAATAAAATTTAAAAGAATAAAATTATCAAAAAATATTCTGAAAACTTAAAAGAATAAAATTATTTATTGGAGGTGCATAAAATAAGATTATACAAGTATGGGTTGATACAGTTGTATAATCATACGAAGAGAGAGAGGAAGAGAAGATATATATACCTGTTCAAGGGTTGTTTGTGTTGCAGTCTTGGAGATCAGAGACAGAGCAACATGGCGCAGGTGCAGGAAGAAGAGACAGAGAAGATGAAAATGGCGCAGGTGCAGGAAGAAGAGACAGAGAAGATGAAAATGGCACAGGTGGCGTGTAAGAATGGTGCATTGCTTTGAGCCACAAAATGCCACAGTAGCATTTAATGACTGACTAAGCCATCACCCCCAGCCTTTTGATTGATATAAAATCTAATATTATATATTAAGTTAAAAATTTTGTACTTCTTGCTTACTATAAGGGCATGCGTTTTGGAGGCGTGGTATTTCCAAGGCTGACATAAGAACTTAAAATTCAAACAATCGTACCTGTTGAAACTGTGATGATGTGAAGTCAAAATTAATGTATAGAATTAGCAACATTAATTTAATAATTAATATTTTAATTCTTTACCTATAAATAATGTAAGCTATTCTTAGTTAATGTGAAGTCAAAATTAATGTATAGAATTAGAAACATTAATTTAATAATAAATATTTTAATTCTTTACCTATAGATAATGTAAGCTATTCTTAATTAAATGATGATGTGAAGTCACAAAATTAGTGTATAGAATTAGCAACAGTAATTTAGTAAAAAATATTTTATTTCTTTACCTATAATGTAAGCAATTATTCTCATAAGTTCAATTTTTATATACTTATCTATTCATTACTATAGTCTCAATAGTAAAATAATGATTATTATAATCTCGTGAGTTCAATTATTATACAGTTATCAATTGATCAGTGATCACTATAGTCTCGTTAGTTACCTTTTAATTCCATGTGTTTAATTATATAGTTATATAGGATCACTATATTAGTATAACCTCCTTAATTCAATGTGTTTGATTGTATAGTTATATATAAATAACTATACTAGTGTGTGATTTTTAATTCCATGTCTTTAATTATATAGTCATATAGGATTACTATACTATTTTAGCCTCCTTAATTCAATGTGTTTAACCATATAGTTATATATGGATCACTAAACTAGTGTGAGATTTTTAATTTCATGTGTTTAATTATATAGTTATATAGGATCACTATACTAGTATAGTCGATTACTATACTATTATAGCCTCCTTAATTCAATGTGTTTAATTAGGACAAATATAATTCAATGTGTTGAATTATATAGTTAAATGTTTAAATATAAGCTTCTTCTTTTTTTTTTTAGTTAAATACTTAATTTCATTCTAATATTTTTGTAAATAAAATAAATAATTTAATGTGTAATTATTTATATAATTATCTTACTAATAATTGGGTATGTGAGATTTAAATAGAAAAAAAACTGAAGTAATATAGATTTTTTTTTTTTTTTTTTTTGTAGGATATTTATACCCTTAAACATGATTAATGAGTAATAAGAAAATTATATAGCAATAAGTGAGTGTGTAAGCTACCAAGCTTTAAACATGGGATAAAAAGTTAATTAATTTAAATATAATGTATATAATATTTTTTAGAATATTTATAAACCTCAAATATGATTAGTAATTAATGTGAAATTAGTTTACTCTCAATATTTTTTATATGGAAGTTATATAAAAAAGGCATAAGTATTTATTTACCTTTTTTAATGGATTTATGAGATTTAATTAAGGAAAAAACCTTTTATTATTTTAGACAATATTAGTTTTAGATTTCTTAATTCAATGTGTTTAATTAGGACAAATATAATTCAATGTGTTTAATTACTAAGTGTAACCTTCTTAATTCCATGTGTTGAATTATATAGTTAAATGTTTAAATATAAGTTTTTTTTTTTAGTTAAATACTTAATTTTATTCTAATGTTTTTGTAAATAAAATAAATAATTTAATGTGTAATTATTTATATAATTATCTTACTAATAATTGGGTATGTGAGATTTAAATAGAAAAGAAACTTAAGTAATATAAATTTAATTTTTTTTTTATTTGTAGGATGTTTATACCCTTAAACATGATTAATGAGTAATAAGAAAATTATATAGTAATAAGTGAGTTTGTCAGCTACCGAGCTTTAAATATGGGATAAAAAGTTAATTAATTTAAATATAATGTATATAATATTTTTTAGAATATTTATAAACCTCAAACATGATTAGTAATTAATGTGAAATTAGTTTGCTTTCAATATTTTTTACATGGAAGTTATATTAAAAAAGGCATAAGTATTTATTTACCTTTTTTAATGGATTTATGAGATTTAATTATGGAAAAAAATCTTTTATTATTTTAGACAATATTATTTGTCCACTTTAAAAAGCCAAAGCAAATAAGTCTTTATCTTTTGATCATTGTCATTTATATTTTTAAAAAACAAGAATTAATATTAATAAATAAATATACATGTAAAGTTATAAACTATTGTGTATTTTATTGTAACAGATTTGTATATATATTGTTATATTGATGATGGTAAAATAATGTACAAAGCCCAATGCCCAAAAATAACCTTGTCTAAATTATTATTTTAATGGACAAAAAGTGGCCCACAGTGTTTCCTGGGCGATATCAGAGTGTTTCTTGCACTGCTGGCTTGGCAATATAAACTCTGAAAAAAACAGAGAGGGAAAAATAAAAAATAAAATAAAATAAAACTGAAGAAAATATTTTCTATGAATACAAAATTACATAATTGTTTTAACTTATAAACAAAGAGTAATAAATAGGTTTTTTTTTTTTGGAAGGTAAATGTATTTTATTAAAAGAAAAAATTTACAGCAGGCCAAAGCCTCAACCAATGGGCCAACCCATAAATTAAACAGCCCATAAGGCCTTACAGATGGATCAAGACGTATTCAGTCTAGGGTTTCCTAAACTGAAGAAGTCTAAGCCAAAGTCTCAAAGATCATTCGGTTTCAAGCGGCGACGCAGTAGCCGCACCGTGGTATCAGTCTGGAGGCTCTGCCGGTGGCCGTATGAAGGAATCAGGCAGATCCCACGTGAGTATCATTCTCCTAGCACAACCAGAGTCTTTAACCACCATAGATGATAGTCTCTGCCTTATCAATAATAAATAAGGTTATTCTTATCAACACCCCCCCCCCCCCCCACACACACACACACATATATATACACACACACACACACAAGAAGGAAGAAAGAAAAGAACACTCAGATCTTTTGAAGGGGAAAAAACGCAACACACACGAGAAAAGAAAGAAAAGAACAGTCAGATTGTTTTTAGGGGCAAAAACGCAACGCAACGCAACAAATGGTTTAATTATAAGGTTAAAATTGTAAATTTACACCTATTTAATTAGGTTAAAATGGTCAACATAATTGTGGTGAATGGGTTACAGCTGGTAACCCACTAACCACAATTATTATTATTATTATTATTATTATTATTATATATATACTACTACTACCACCATATATATATATATACACACGTTTCTCAATGACAGGCAGCTGTCGGTCGAAATTTGTTTACGCGTTAGAACGTGAAAAAGACGCGCCAAATAGGGTAACTTTCTATGCAAAACCAACACGTGAAGAACCCTCGTCTTCTCCAAAACGTCTTTCCTGAAAATCGCGGCAAAACCAGTGAAACCAGTAATTTCCGACCACTGAAACCAAGGTTTTCTTCAACGGCCGTGTCTGATCTTGACCGTACAAGGTCGGACGCATATCCCGAGTCCGTGTCCGTGTCGTGTCGTGTCGACACGGACACCCTCACCGGAAAGGACGAGTCCAGGTAACACAGATTATAGTCCGTGGAGTGGCCCAAGCACCACCACTAAGGACAAAAGAAGGCCCCAAAAATCAGTTGCTACTCCACAATTAAGAAGATGGCTCACTGCTTCCACAGCACCCATGCTTTTGTAACACTCTAGTTTAGAGATACAAAACTCTCACCTTCAGTTTATCTGTATTGATTACAGAATCCATAGCTGCAAACCTAGCAAAAAAGTGCCGCCTTGAAGGAGGCCTTTGGGAGATATAACTTCTAAGGGAACTAGATGCCCCCCATCCCCTAGAGTGTACCTCATAAAAGTACCAGAAGCTAATTCTCTACTAGATGCCCCCTTTTTGAGAATATACCTTAAACTGCACTCCATTTAGCTCATCTTCCATTTCACGACATAACCTGGTCCCTTGCGTCATTTCTAATAAGGCCATAACTAGTCAATCTCCCAGTCATGCAAATCTGTCCTACTCTAGGGCTCCCAATCACACCTGTGGGCAAAAAAGACAAAATCTTGCAGCTGAGGCAACTTTATCTGTTGTGATCTGGAAGAGTTCCAATAACCTGTCTTTAAGGTCTCTTTCACAAATATATGCCAAAATCTGACTCTCCTTTCCGCATTACAATAAACATGAAGTAGCAATTCCTCCCAATCTTTTGTAGTACCTCCAGGTCCACTCAGTTCGAAGAATCCACCTCCCTCGACAACTAACCACCCCAAGAACATCCATACTTGTGCTCTACTACTCTTCAGCACAAGGATTCCTTCCTAGCAAATCATGAAGGCACTTCTCCAGCAATGCTCAATAAGACACCCTGAGCTCCCTAATTTCATAACCTCCATCCTTGAGTAAAAGGCAAACCTTATTCTATCCCACCAAATGGACCTTATGTCCTCCCCAATTCCCAAAAGATCATCTTCATGGAGCTTATATAATTTCGTTTCGCCAATGCAGGACTGGTGAAGGGAGACATGAATCCTAGCCAATTTACTTAATATTAATCCTTCCCTTCTCGAGAGATGTTGCCGGTTTATCCCTTAAGCCACCTCTGAAACTACTTCGAGATAGCATCTGAATATGCCTTCAACTTGAAGGAAGCCACTCTGTACCCCAAAATTGGATGTTAGATTTTCCATGTCCCCAGTCTTCCCAACTGGAATAAATAAGCTTCTCTTTCCCATATTAGCCGAAGACATGAGACCAATGCCTCAAGTGCTCCATATTTGCACAGCAAAAAGATGTCTTCTTCTAGCAGCAGGTAGAAAACTTCCATCTGATAGCCACTATCCAACTTCAGAGCACCTCAACAAAATCCACTCATCTGCCCTCCTCAGCAACCTGATCAAGTCATCACCAATAAACAACAAAGGAGAGAAGGGATCACCCTGCCTCACATCTTTTACTCAAAACGAACACTTCTAAAGAGCCGACCACAAAACAATAAGTCAAACAGTAGAAATACAAGGCTCCATCCACTTCATTGCCTGATTGTATTACTATCCTCTCCGGTAGACACAAAAGAAAACCTCAATTTACATGGTCATATGCCCTCTTAAGGTTTAGCCTATAGAGTACTCTCTCTTCCTCACTTCACTTTAGAGTCCACATATTAATTCGCAATAAGCATCGCATCAAAGATTCATGTATCCCCACAACCCTTTCCTGTGCCTCTGAGACAATCATAACCCTTTAAGTCTTAAGGATAAGACTTAGCCAACAACTTACTAACACTCCCTACCAAGCTAACCAGTCTAAAATCCTTAATGTTAATCGCACAGTGCACACGTCCTTTCTAAGTTACCACTGCAATAAAGTAAGCATTTCGACTCCTCTTTAAGATCCCCTGCTCAAAGAAATATGAAAAAACCCATCATCACCTAATCATTGACCAACACTGCTGAAAGAAACCCATGGTGAGTCCATCAGGACTGGAGAGCTTCACAGTTAACTACTATTTGCCGCACTTATAACATCAAACTACAAAACCCCCCAAAGAAGGTCACACATTCCTACATACAACCTCTCATGGAACAACACTTTATGTTCACCTCTTTTTCATTTAGCTCCAACCAATTAATGATGATAGTACAGAGTGATTAACCCTCTGATCGGCGGTAGCTATTTAATAGAAGGAACTTGGTAATTTTATCTCCATCCTTAAGCCACAAAAGTGCTCCCTTTGGTAGGAGGGATGGAAAAATAAATGGAAGGGAGAAGAGAGTAGATAAAAGAGGCATCGCTAGGGAAGGGAGGATGTTTGTCTCTCCTATTGTTTGGTTGAGTGGAAAGGGAGAAAGAGATAATATTATTATTTTACTATCATTTACTTAAATGTATAAATTGATACACTTAAATGAGAATAATATCGTCTTTCAATTAAATTTAACAAATATCTTTCTTTCTGTCTCCTCTTCCTCCCAAATTTAGATGGATGCAAAATAGTGGACCAAGAGGGATGCCTCACCCATCATCCCATACTTCCTCTCTTCCGGTCCCCTATACCAAACAATAAAAACTTTGTTCCATGCCTTCTCCCTCCACTTCCTTCCCCTTCCATACAATAAACCACAAGCTAAAACAATTTTGCCAACTTAACTATTCTGAAATCACAAATCTACCTAATTCCCTTTCTTCTCATCTCTGGAGGCCCATCCTCCCCTGTGAAAATGAATTGCTTCTCCTCAACCAATTTCTTATTTTCTTGCAGCACTTGGGCCAACAACGTGTACATGTCATTTCACCATTGTAACGACCCTAGCTGATGCCAAAATTTAAAAAAAAAATTCGACATAACCTCCCCTAAAAATGGGCCTTCAACAATCTGTCCCAAAACACAAAACACATAATATCATCCAGCATCTCATTCATCCGTTCATTATACCTCAATATAGTTCCTCTCATGGTGAAACATCCACACACCAATTAATCTAACTTATCATAATTACAGTCCAAAAATACATGATTAAGATTTAAAATCCCTGTTTTACAACGTTACATGATACAATTGCATGAAAACATATACCATAATTCCATTAGTTTCATTTACATCAAACAAAAGATAAGTTCGTTCTTAAGTTACAAGGCCATGAATACTAACTTAGTTACATTTCCACAACTACGAATATACATAGAACGGTCAAAATACAAAATAGCAAACAACCTTCTAACAACTTTCAAGCTTGAGGTGGATTGTCGTCCACCAGTTCATTTCCAAGACCTGAAAAAAATAATAGTAGGGTGAGCATAAAGCTCAGCAGGTGACACTTAAGACACACATCTTGTGTCCTTGTGAATCCAAATAAAGCATAGGCCAATGGGAAATGGGGATCATACAATGTCGGGAAATAATACAGCATAGTATATCCAATGCAATGGTATGAGATGCAATGCATGCTAGTGTCGCTCCCCGTTTTCATAATCCAAAACATCGTTTCCAAACTGTTAATACAGTCTGCCCTTTGGTAGCCCCGCCGCGACACGAGAGGAGGATTGGCTAGTGTCCCTGACCCTTGGTAACCCCGCGGCGTCATTATGGGGCCCAGCTAGCTCAACCACGCTAGGGCGACTCCCTAGTCCCCTCTAGGCTATATTAACCTCCGGCCCATTGGTAACCCCGCAGCGACCGGGTTTCGCATAAAACCATTTCATCAAAAACACTTCCCTAAAATTCCCCATATTTATTTCAAGAACAATTTCTCTCATTTCATGCAACCCAATGGTATGTGCATGTATATATGTTCCATACATTCAATGTCATGGCATTTAAAATTCTACACCATAAAATTAAACATTCAACATGTTCAACATCTCCCAAGTAATTATTAACACATTAAGATATAACAAAATACATTTAAGCATGCTTTACACATAAAACAACTCACATTCAAATACATGAATTTCTCTAGACAACATTTAAAATAATCATTGATACAATTAACTTCTAATTAAGCATGCTTGGCACAACAAATGATTATAACTCACAATGGAACAAGAAGGTAGTGGATTAAGGTGTCCCTACCTCAAAAGTGAGCCAAAACCCTTAAAATGGGTCTCTAAATTCGAAGTCCCTAGGAAGACCAAATCTGAAATTGCTTACACTAGCGCGTAGAGCTCGTTGTGGGCTTCGTTTTGCCTCAAACGGCTCTCAAATCTACCAAGGATGAAGGAAGAAATCAAGAGTGGAAGTTGCAAAAGAAAAAGAAAAAAAGGAAATACAAAGAGGAAGAAAGGCAGCGGGGAGAGAGAAGAGGAACAAAAAAAATGGGTCTGTAATCCCATTTAGCACATGATAACATAAAATAAGTGGGTCCCACAGCTAAATAAAAAATTTCTTTTAACCTAAATATATATATAGATAAAATCAAAAACTTTACAACCATGTACCACTCCACAAGCCTGTCTCCTAGCTACTAGTGCCATTGGTGTTTTTCTTACTCTACCAACCCATAAACTATCTCTACCCATCAACTCCCTCGCGAGACTACATCTCTCTCAATCTCATAAGTCTCAACCTATAATCTAGGTGCCTATTATAGAGTTCCAAACCCAGTTCCTTGTCTTGTTGGACAAGGATTACAATTGCTTAGAGCCCAAGACTTGCTCAACAAGAAATTTCCTAACAAAATACAACTCTAAAATAGAAACCTAATTAGAATAGGAATTTAAGACATCCCAACACTCATCACGTTCAAAAATCTCCCACTACATCATGTACACTCGCATTAGCCTACAACAAGATCACCCCATAAAAAGCTCCCCTAGCATCATCCACATGCCTATAAACCACACAAGTCAAAAGGCAGAAAACATAAAAGATTTCCACCTAAAAGTCCACCCTAGATACCACCTCATATCCCACATGTCAAAGACGCCTCTGCCAGACTTACTGTGCCCCGGTTAAGCCCACTCGAGTCATATCGAACTCTAGAAGACAATTTATCCTCATTGATAAATAAATAAACAGAATTTGTGGTGAAGCAAATTGCTTTCTCCGAGAGAGAGAGCTCCTACCGGGTAAAAGCAAACAAAAACACAAAATGATAATAACATACTAAGGACCAACAAGAAGCAAACTAACAATAAGTCAAGGAAGGAATTAGAAGTCATAAGAATGTTGGCAATCAGAGATTTAGAAGTCATAAGAATGTTTGCAATTTCTATTTCCGTGAGTCCAATAAAAAAATAATTGTTATTTAAATAGTCCTAGGAATATTGAGTTTTTTGCACCAGTCATATCAGAAATATAGTGGGGAAAAAAATAAAGTTATCCATATAGAGGAGAATAACAAGTTAGAAGTATTTATGGAAGGAAAGATGATATTGGCGCTCCAAAATGGTCCGAGACACTCCACTTCTTTAGTCCATGTGGCATTAGAAATGATGTGCCTCAGCCTTTTCTTGGAGGGTCGATATCATTTACCTTACCTAAATTGCTGCAAAATTACGCTGAGCAACATAAATTCAGAAACTGCATAAAACAAAATGCAACTAAAATTCATTGTCTTTGCCATTTCAGAATAGCTTAGATCATAAAGATCCTCATCATGAGCCCAGTCATCAAGTTGAACATAACAAATAAAACGGATTAACAAAACCCTTCTAATGGCAAATATATTATAAACATAAGAAAGGACAATGGACAACAGTAAAAATATCTAACTAACAAAGAATTAATATATATAAAAAAATAAAAAATAAAACAAAGGAAATGTTTAGCCTACACAAAAAAGAACAAGTCCATCAAGTTGAACATAAGAAATAAAACGGATTAAATAAAACTGTTGTACTGAAAGGAAGGGTACACCTTTTGGTCTGCATTAAATCAAAGCAAGATGTGGTTAAGAGACCGATCGTAATTGAGTTTGTCTCATACAAGATTATAGAACATTTGACTAAAACTGTTGTTCATAGATAGAGAGGATAGGTCATGCTTTTTGTTACTCGAAGTATCTTAATGCCACCAACTAAAAATAATTACTCAGTAAATAACATTTAACTATTGACCAGTTGAAATTATTGAAGTCCAACCATCGGACTAGTTTAATCTTCATAATTCTATATTGGTTCTCCCTGGTGAAGGATTTGGAGCTATGGTCTGAAATATCGTTGTGCATGTGTGGCAGTGGCAATCTATCTGTTAAAGTTTAGATGGTAATGCAGAGTAAACGGTTAGCTTCATTAGGGAAAACATAAATTTATTGGTTTTGCAAATGCAATGGTAAAATCTCATGAGATGAGAATAAATGAAGAATAAAGGTGGTAAGATTATGACAAATGGAGTTCACTTGGTAAGCCCCTCCTCTACAACCACCATAAATAAGGAACTCTGGATATTAAGTTCAAACGCTGAACCAAACCCCAACAACCATCTCTTGAATAGTCTAAGGTGCATAGTCTAAGGTGCAGTAATATTCTCCCCAAGTACATGAAGAGATTTAACTCATAGATAAATAAATAGAAGAGTATGATTTTGAGACTTTCTTCCACACATTCGACAACACACCAATTCAGAAAAAAGCTCATCAAAATCCAAATTGGTATATATATATATATATATATATATATATATATATATATATATATATATAATAAAAGAACAACATTATTGGAGCAGTCCTCCAAATGAGACCCATCAAAAGGCTAATAATTCACTCCTTGACCATTCATTCAATAAGGATACACAAAAATTCGATTTCCAATGATCATAAAAACTAAAAAAAGTAAATGACCATCCTATACATAAAAAATTGTATCTTTAGAGATCAGAAAATAGTTACGAAACCTGAAAGCGACATGTGGGGCAGGAATTGGATTCGGACAACCAAGCTGAGATGCAGCGCCTGTGGAAGACATGCAAGCAACAAGTCTCATAGATGATGTCCATGGTGTCGGTCGACATTACATCCAGACATATAGGGCACAAACCCACCGCCGTTGATCTGTCGTCCTTAGTCCGCTTCCAGACGTGGTCCTTCTCCGGATCAACTTCGAAAAAGCCCACCGGTTCGTCGGTGTCAATCGGTTCCAGTGGATACTTCCCGCCTTCACCCAATTTTTGGGGTAGCGACACTAGCTTACCCATAATCTGTTTGAGGTCTATATCTTCATCCCAATTATATATCGGATCTTCATAAGTATCCTGAGCAGCCATAGTATGAAACTCTTCATCTAATTCGTCGTCCGATGAATCTGACGAACATTGCGTATGCGAAGACGGAAACAACGGCGACGGAATGGGATGAGTAGTGCGGAAGCCGTAATTGGCCGTTCGACTTCGATCAACGTCAACGACTATGACTATTCTAGGCAAATTGCGGCGAAGAAGATTTTGGGGGCTAAAGCGAAATCGAGAGATGAGATACGTAGAAATCTGATGAGCTAAGGATAGGACGGTGTTGGGTAGGAATTGGTTTGTGGTGTTAAGGGCGTCAACAGCCAGCGATTTGATGGAATTATCAGATAAAAGCCTTATGCGGTCGAAGATAACAACCTCTCTGATATTCCTTCGTTGAAGAATTCACGTTGGTACCTAATGGTTATGAATTTGTCGGAGATAAGGAACATGAAAAGGGCTTTACAGTCGGAAACTCCATTCTTGCAGAGCTTCTCATTCCACCTGAATACACGCACTTTTCTGCTATCGGCTTCTTCACTCACAATCACCATCTCCGTCGATCTATCTTTTCAGACTCTCTCTCTTGCCTCTCTCTTTCTTTATATATATGTGGGGTAAAATTTGATTCCACAGAAGTACTCCTTCCTATACTAGGACACTCGCGTATGTAATGTAATCTTGCTCCCCACTCCTACAATACATTCACACACATTTATTATCTGTCCTTTGTTGTTTTTTTACCCTTGTTGATAACGGTGTCCAACATTATGGAGTTTTCAACCAAAAAAATTCCCTCATGTCCCTAATCAAAAAAAGCATAACCAGGTTCTTTGATAATTCTTAGAATTTGTTAAATTAGTAAGGAAAAACAATAAGATTTATTGGTCTTATCTCACAATGGATTTAGATAGGAAAGCTCTTAAATATATATGAGCGAGTATGTAAAATCACCTACAGTTTAAGTTTTTAGGTTTTTAAGTTTTTAGGTCAGATGACAAGTGTTCAGCCCAACTAAGTCATTTTATGTAATGTTCAAAGTCCGAGTCTAAGTCATTGTTGAATCTTTCGAAAATTAAGAGGGACGTATAGACGAGATCGGATAGAGAAAAATAAGAGCATATAAGAAGGATCAGATGGTAAAGAATTACTACCCAACAACTTACTCTTTTGAGTTAGATGGCAAGTGCCTATCTCTTTCTAAATTGCCTCAAGCATCCTAAAATAAATTCCTCTAGTCTTAAAGCAAGCGTTCAATTAAGCGAAAGCCTACAAATTAAGCCAAGGTCTAAATAGAGATGCCACAAATTGTGCCTTTTCACACGACTTAAGAGAGTTTTATGTTTGATTAAACATTCTAGTAAATTTTTTTGCATCAAGTGACTTTGAATTTTTTTTTTTCCTTTTTTGGTTTTCTTGCTACTTGTTATATATTGTTAAAAATATTTAAACAACGTCTATTTTTTCTTCTTTTGTTACTTTATACTAGGAATACATTAACAATACGTGATTCTTTATCTTTTTGCAATATTTAACAAATAATGATTCTCGAGCCGAGGACTTCAATCTTTAGTGACATTGAACAGATAAAATTTATTCGGCCCAGGACTTCTTCGTAAATAAGTCACATTTGAAAATTTTATCTTCTATTATTTAAAAAAAAAAACATTATAGTATTTTATATCGGTCTTGATTGACATTTTTATCTCAATGATTATTTCTAAAATAGAAACTTAATTAGAATAACATTTTTATAAAGTAAATTTAAAAAAATTGAACCAGCAAAATTTTTTTTATACAATTTTCTGTTTTTAGTTTTTTAACAACATAAAATAAAATAAAATAAAATTAAGTTACAAGCCGAGGCTTATATATTTTGAAAGGCGTGCACCACCATAAGAAAAGCAATTATTGCCATTTCAACAAACCCCAGCCCTAAATCTGAACATCATATGGATGACTTACAATAGCTGGATTACGTTTGGGCCTGGTGGGCTTCTTTCCTGCTTCTGGACCTTCTGGTTGAGCTCTATTCCATTAATCGGAATGGGCTTTTCTGAACAAACCCCAGCCCTAAATCTGAACAAATTATGCATAATGAGCAAGTTTGCTATCCTCTCAATAATGGGAGGAAACGGAATGAAATAGAAGGAAAAGGGTATACAATTTGATGAAATTTTCTTCTGTATTTTTTTAGGCCTTTGTTTTGTACTAGATTTGAATGATGTTTAAGTACAATCTTTATATTTTTTTTTACCATTTTTCTTTCCCATTTATTAGCTTTTTAAATGCAAAAAGTTTTAATGCCAATGAAAAAAATAGATTATAGTGATAAATTAATTAAAATAGTTATTTTTGCTTTCTTTCCTAAACTAGATTGATCAGTAAATCACCAACTTAACTAATGTTATTTTTTCTCTTCTTCGTAGCAAATATAGCCTTAAAAACTTTATTTCCTAGATCCAAGATTGCTTTTTATTTTTTTATTTTTTTTTTAAATACTTAGTCTTTTTTAATATTCATCAAAATGATCGAAAACTGTTTGTTGCATGGTTTTCATTGTAACTTGAACACATAGATTTTTCAATGGAAGATTTGAAAGCTTGGTATGGATTTCATACAATTTTATCACCAAATCAATTACTCTATATACATTCTTAGATTTTGCTAACACCTAATTTGAAAAAAATCTATGTGTTTTAAATTACAAATGAAAACCAAATTATGTTTATAACTCTGAAATGTCTCAACTAATTATATATTCAAAATTCATGTTTTCTAATTATATATTCAAAATTCATGATTTTTAGATTTGCGGATTATAGTCCTGTGACCTTTACAAGCAACAAAAGCATGTAAATTACAAGAATAGAAATAGCCAGCTTTCACCCATTTTCAAATTTTAAAATCCAACTTTTTTTTTTTAAAATAATAATAATAATAAAATGGAAAGAACAAAAAATGCAAAAAAAAAAAATCTTCAACTAAAAACATGTGGAGTGGATGGATAACTGTATTTGAAGAGATCCGACACTATCATTGTCTAACTCAAAAAAATGTTTTGGTGAAACTCTTAAAAAATTGTGCTTTAGCTCAAGTGACCTAAATCAAAATACTGTATGAATGTGCATCCATACACACACACACACACACACACTAGGCTTCTATGAAAAATTATTGGGTACTGCATGAGTGGCAAGTTTTTTTTTATATTTTTTCGCGCGTGTTTCCTAAACGAGTTCAATTTCTAACAAACCAATTTATTTCCTAATTTGACTAACCTTTCCTGAGACTGTTGAAAGCGAGACCATATATGTTTAGGAGTACCCTCTATCAACATTATATATATATATATATATATATATATATATATATAAGTGGCACACAATAACGGATCAGAGAAACACACACCATGGGTGGTGTCACAGGGGTGAATCTCAACCCTGTAACAGGTGGCCTCAAAGGATTAAATTTTCGTGTGTTCGAGTGGAAGCAAAAGCTTAATCAAGTTTCTGATTCTCAAGGATTGTATATGCTTCGTGTTGACGAAAAAGGATACTTTGTGAATCGTTTTGCTAATGCATTCGAGCTCCAAAGCTTACTGTCACGAGACTCCATAGAATCGCTCTCTCGTCGTGTCTTTGTAGACTCGAAAATTTTCAAAAAAGACACTATTGCTCTGAATCTTCTTGCACGATTTATGTCTGTCTACCTTAATATTGGTTTCTACTTTACCATGCAAAACTTGATCCGTCCCAGAAAGTCCAAGATCGTCATTGTCGTGGATGTTTATATGTTTGAAGATTGTTGTAAAGATGATGGTGATGAGCATGACGATCAGCCATGCGAATATGGAAGTGAAGTAGTCGGACGACTAGAGATTGCTGAGCTATCTGATGCTGATTCAAGGGCTTCACAAGTTCAAGAACAAGGACTAACGGATGACCAGGAAAGCTTGCGCAAAAACTTGTCTAATACAGGCGCATGTTTTTCATACCAGGAATCCGACTTTTGGGACATTTTGTGTACATTAAAGTGTTTTCTAGACGAACCAATTGCTACCTATGAAACAAAAGTTTTGAAACAAATCGGGCTTGCAGTAGTGGATATGTGTCTGGTTTGTATGCATGGGTTCGTGAAGGGGACGGTGTTTGCAACGAGCCAGTGTGTTCCCCCGGCTGATATGTGTCCCATTTGTCTGCAGGGGTTCTTGACGGGGATGATGGTTTCAATGACCCCGTGTTCGCATTCGTTTCATAGGGACTGCCTGTCACAATGGTTATCAAAGACTAATTCCTGCCCAATGTGTCGATCACTTTGCACAGGAACCACAGGTTTTACCGTAGTTTATCTGTAATGATCAGTTCTTTTTATGTCTTTATTTCCACAGCTCTGGTTTGAAGGTCTCTCTTTCCTTTTTTCTATGTCGGAGGCCAATTTTCTTTTTCCAACCATTAAATACATGTTTATATGATGAAAATAGACTAATTCCCGCCCAATGTGTCCATCACTTTTCACAGAAACCACAGGTTTTACCATAGTTTATCTGTAATGATCGATTCTTTTTATGTCTTTATTTCCACAGCTCTGGTTTGAAGGTTTCTTTCCTTTTTTCTGTCATAGGCTAATTTTCTTTTTCCAACCATTAAATACATGTTTATATGATGAAAATTTTGAGATATATCTATATAACAATTTTCATATGGTTTTTAAGAAGTGTTGCAGGAAGAACTTTTTTACTAACAATGGCCAGGCATTGACAGACAGACAGACAAACATAGCTTTCAAAATGCATTACCAAACAAGATAATGAATGACCAAAGTTATGTGCGAAATAAAATAAAAAAATACAACAAACGTACTCGGAAAACACAAAACTTTCAATGTCACCTGGTCTTCAGACATGCAGTACTATCAGATTGCTTTTAGGCATGCCCTCCCAAGAGCCTTGCAGCAAGAGAACACCTCCACCTCCTTGCAGAACGAAATATGATAACAGACTCATCAGACCAGGTTTTAATAATTTTAGCAATTCGTTCCAGAGACACAACCATAACAACAGTAATTATTTCCATTTTAACAAACCTCAACCACTGCACTCTGCTTTCTGCTTTAGACATCTTGGTGCCTACTTTGTCACCTTTCCAGTCGATCGAGTAATGAAAATAACCTAACAACTCTAGTTTCTCGCCCAACTGACCAATTCAATGTGCATCCCCATAATTATTGCCATTTTAACAAACCCCAAGCCCAACCCTAAATTCATACACTTGGATGACTAACAGCAGATGGATGACGAAGTTTGATTCAGTCAGTCTTATCTTCTACTTGGTCAGCTAGCATCACTTCTCTGGTATATACTGAAAATATGAGAGAGCTTATCCAGCAGTAATATTCTTTGAGGATTCAGATTTAACAATCAAAGACATACTGTTCAGGCTACTGGAAGGACCTTGTGGCCATGCAACATAGGCTCATTATCTGAAGAATTGGCCTCCTCCACAATTTTGTGTCTGCTTTCTGACTTTGATGCTGAAAAATACCAGACCATTTGGCATTAACTGAAACTCGACAGCAGTGCCCTGACACTTGATAAAACATCCAAAGAAGATAAATTGTTGAAGTTGGCTGCAAAAATAAAGTAGCATCATAGAATAATATTAGTCAAATTCTATCCGAGGAATGTTAACAGCAAAACAACATCTGATTGATCTTCCTATCACTTGTTTACCAGGGTTTTTTGCTGCACGAAAAAACAGCATAAGTAACATACTCTCTTCCTGTCCTTAATCAGTGTATCACCATATCTCTGCTCTTTATTTAGATATTGATTTTTCCTTATAGATGAGGCTTGCCTAATTGAAAAGTTTGAACTCCACAAAATATTATATCTTTGAAAATAGAAGATCCACTTTGCACATTGAGTTGCAGGCATTGTAGGCTTTGCATATGAATCATGACTTCATTGATTATTGTTATTAGGGGCAAAGATTGCATGTTGTCCAATAAGATCATGATCTGCATAAAATCAAAAGCTCCTATTATATTTCTCTGGAATGCATTCCTCTGCCAGAACATAAAAATAAAATCACTAATTAAGGCAGAAAAATAAAATAAAACAAAATAATTTACATGCAGTGGAATGAAAATTCCCCTTCACAGCAAAATGTAAAACATACATGTCAGAGAAAGAGCCCATATTGCAACAAAGCAAGATAAACAACAAAATCAAAACAAAAACACTTCAGAGAACCCTACGAACCATATGCAGGCAGCTCTATACAGCAATTAAAAATAGCAAAAACAACAATAAATTGTGTAACCCCTATACACTCCTATGTCGAGACCACTAGGAGTTGTTCTGGCATAGTATGATTTTGAGCTCTATCATACATGGTGTATAAGAGGCTTCTGATCCTCAGTTAATCAGCAAGTAAAGCTATTATACCCATGAACTTGAACCGATAAAGGTTGCCAACGTATCTCGCCCAAAAACAAACAAACAAACAAACAAAAAAATACAAAACAAAACAAAACAAACAAAAACAATTTTGTCAACATGAATAAGTGCAACAATCCACTCAACTAAAGATACAGGATTGGGCTCCCCTCAGATACCTAATTGACTTGAATTCAACCTGACCCCTTGCTAACATAAATTCAAGTAATATTTAAGCATGACTTCCTTCAAAGGGTGCCAAAATAAGCTAGTCTCAGTAGCCACTCAGAGACCTATAATGAAATGCACGGTCAACCAACAATTATCAAATTTGAAAGAAAGAAAGAACCCCATACGGGGTAGGTTATTGCATATTTGTCGTTATGGAAACATACATCAGAAAATTCAGCTATCACCAACCACATTAGGTTGACCCTTGTGGCTACAAAGATTTACAAACAACTTGCATTTTCACTAGGACCTCCAACTTGGAAACAAAGCCATACAAACACCACTTAGTGAATAAGTTGTAATTTTCCCCTTCATTTATCAATTAGGAAATTTACATGTTACATTCTGAATAATATTTTTATACATATCCTATTTATAGGTGCCCTGGGGACACTAGGTATTTTTAGAATGGGTTCTCTAGTGCTCTTGCTCCAAATTAACAATGCATACTCGCTCCAAACTCTAGGGATTATAAATTTCAACATCTCATCTCCATACTTCTTCAGGAAATTTCTCCAAAGTTATTTTTTTTTTCGGTTAGTAAATTTCTCCAAAGTTGCCCTTAAATGACCTCATATGGCCACAGAAGTGACAGAACCAGTCCTTGTTAAGCAAAATTCAATTTATGACCTACTACAAAATAGATCTCGATCATTTGTAAATGAAATCCTCTTGACGTGAGAATTTTTTTTTTTCATTGGCAAGAAACATGCTCACACACCCACTTTTTACCCACATGGGGACTTGAACCCTTGATCTTCTACTTTGGAAGGCAAGGAGGTACCACTAGGCCACAACTCACAAGGCATTGCTTCAACATGTTCCAGTCAAATTTAAAAACCCTTTCCTTGTTTAAGAAAAGTTGTGTTAGCATATGCCAAAAATACCAACAAGAAGATCATCCTCGTAAAATGTCCCATTGCATAATGACCAACTATTAGATATTCAGTTTCTGGGAATGTCTTGCATACCAATATTTTATATTAGCAAGTTCAGAACCTTCAACTCAAAATGATATTTGATCACCTATCTTCACTACTCAAACTTGTAAAGAAGATACTCCAAAGTAAATAAAATAAAATAAAAAATAGCATAAAAACATCTTTGCTATAACCATATTACGAAGGTCGCCATCGTATGTCAAGGACAAGCTTCAATTTAAGCATGAAGCCCTTTGTTTTCTCCGGTATAGGTGGTTCACAAGAGATCAGAACCCAACATAAGCAGATCCACTTTACATACAGACTGAGTCATTATGTAGACAATTATCAAGAAAGGAACATCTTTTCGCCATTTAATGCCATAATGCTGTCTTTCCTTCTAAGAATTGACCCAAAAAAAAAAAAAATTGACTTAGACCAAATGGTTCTAAAACCATCTGAACTGTATAACTTTGGCATTCTTGTCACACATTATAAACAAATACCATACGTCTAAGATTCTTTTAACACTACTTTCATGCGCTACACAATCATTTGTTTTGAAATACAAGTGAAATAATAAAGTGTAATCTAGGAACAGAATATATAAATATTTTATCTGACCTTATTGAACTCAACTCAACAAAATATCGTACCATCTATTTGAGAATGAGTAAAAGAAATCTGGTTTCACGGCTTTCACCAACTTCGGAGGCTACTTAGTCCCCACTTAAAAAAATTATGAAGTGAAACTTGAAATCCAAAGAACTCAATAATTTGAGCCGCAGGAAGTGGAGTCAATCTACACATTTTTGTTCTAATAGTACATAAAACTAGTCTCGAATGCTAAAGGCATACTTGGTCCAAAGAACGAAGAAATTGGCCAGAGCGTGACAAAACATTCATTTGGGTAAGTGAGACCAACATCTCACTTTTCTTAAGAGGTCATAGCTACTACCGTACACTTTTTGAAGCAAAGGAGCATAACGCATCAACTTAGATTATCAAAACTTATGCAGCATAGAACACCACATGGTAGATGGAGAATTCAGAATAAAAATGTAAAATTTAGCTAACATTCACACACACGCTAAAGGTTGCTGGCGTGCAGAAAAGAGAATACTTCCCCGCACAACATTTCAACATCAAAATCGATTTATATTTACTCATATATAAGCAACGATGCATGAAATTATGCTAACTCAAAAGATGAAGGAAGTTGTGTTAATCTACTAAATGGACACAAGTGGACTCCAAATGACTGCAAAAAAACATTTAGAAACCATAATAAAATAAAGGAGGTCAGTAACTTACCCAAAAAACAAAAAAATATATATATAATGAAGGTGAGGCAAATCCAATCAAAATAGATTTTTTATCATATTTATATGAAAAGAATTACGTGATTGGTCAGCCAGGTTATGGAGTTCTTGAAAAAATAATATAAAGCCAAATAATGCAACCAATAGCACACTACAGCTGAAATTATGAATTTTAAAAACATAAAAACAAAGCCAAATTTCATATTTCACTAAAACAATTGCAGAAGCGTCGAAGGAGACAGGATACAATTTATTCTCACAATTTAATTCATCCATCATAGAGGGTTGATAAATGATAAATGTAACTATTAATAAAGTGCAAATTCCAAGTTATGACAATTTATTGAAGCAAAAAGCATGGCAGAATATATATATTAGATTTCACAAGAAGTTGATAATATTAGATTTCACAATATATATATATCATTGACCAAAAATACATATATAAATTTTTTTTATAAGTAGACAAAATCTGCAAAAAAATGGCAAATTGGGGGTCCAATGCATGTACTTGCAAGGTATACAACTTCATACAAAAGCCACAAAAATAACTCATATTTGCCAAAAACTTTACAAAAGAATCTACAGAATAAGTATAAGACTCCAGTCTTCTATATCCAGAAGTATCATGTTCTCAAAAAGTATTGATTTCAATCTTTAAGCGGCAACTGGGATATTCCTCTCCCTCAAATTCCAATTCCTTCCCTACAAAATGAATCACAACAAACAAAGGGAGCTACATCCCATACATTCCTAGATCTCAGCCTCTTACAACCTTCCCAGTCTTCTAAGCACATCAATTACAACCCCTGGAGCTGCCAAAGCACAACCACTAAGGAGAAAAGAAAGCCCCAAAAATTAGTTGCTACTCCACAATTAAGAAGATGGCTCACAGCTTCCTCGGCACCCATACTTTTGTAACACCAACTGGAAATACAAAACTCTCATCTTCAGATTATCTGTGTAGCAATAACAGAATCCATAGCTGCTAACCAAGCAAAAAAGTGCCACCCCAAGGGAGGCCTTTGTGAGAATACAACTTCTAAGGGAACTAGATGCCCCCTCCCCTAGAGTGTTCCTAATAAAAGGACAAGAAGCTAATCTGCAACTAGATGCCACCTTTTTTAGAATATACCTTAAGCGGCACTCCATTAACTCGTCTTCCATTTCACCACAAATCCTGGTCCCTTGCATCATTTCCAATTAAGGCCGTAACTAGTAACTAGTACATCTCCCAGTCCTGCAAATCTCTTCTATTCTAGGGATCCAAACCACACCAGTGGGCGAAATATATATAAACTTGCAACCAAGGCATCTTTATTTGTTGTGATCTGGAAAAGTTCCGATAACCTATCTTTAATGTCCCTTTCACAAACATGTGCCAAAATCTGACTCTATCTCCTTTCCGCTAGACAATAAACATGAAGTAGGAGTTCCTCCTGATCTTTTGTAGTACCCTCCAGGCCCACTCGGTTCGAAGAATCCACCTCCCTCGACACCTAATCGCCCCAAGAACATCCACACTCGTGCTCTACGAGTCTTTGGCACAAGGATTCCTTCCTAGCAAATCCCGAAGAAACTACTCCAGCAATGCTCAATAAGACACCCTGAGCTCCCTAATTCCATAACTATTAACCTCCATCCTTAACTAGAAGGCAAACCTTATTCTATCCCACCAAATGGAAATTATGTCCTCCCCAATTCCCAAAAGATCATCTTCATGGAGCTTATTCAATCTCCTTCCACCAATTCAGGACTGGTGAAGGGAGACATGAATCCTAGACAATGTACTCCTTATAAGATTAATCCTTGCCTTCTCAAGAGGAGAAGTTGCCGGTTCATCCTTAAGCCACCACTGAAACTACTTCAAAATAGCACCCCAATATGCCTTCGCCTTGAAGGAAGGCAAGGGAAGCCACACTGTACCCAAATTGGAAGTTAGATCCTCCATGTCCCCTATCTTCTCAACTGGAAACAGATCATCCCATGTCCCCTATCTGTTAAAGTTTAGATGGTAATACAGAGTATGGGTTAGCTTCATTAGGGAAGACATAAATTTGGTGGTTCTGCTTATGGAGTGGTAATTCTCACGAGAATAAATGCATAATAAAGGTAGCAAGATTAGGACAAATGGAGTTCATTTGGTACCAAACTCCTTGAGGCCCTCCTTTACAACACCCATAAATAAGCAAGACCATCTCTTGGATAGTCTAAGCTGCAGTAATTTTCTCCCCTCTCCAGTACAGTATAACTCATAAATAAATAAAAGTGTATGATTTTGAGACTTTCCTTCCAGACATTCAACAACCCAATGAAAAAAATCTCATCAAAATCTAAATCCAAATTGTTAAAATTGAAGGGGAAAAAAGAAAACATTATTGGAGCATGCCTCCACAAAGACCCATGTCACCCATCAAAATACTAATAATTCATTCTTTAGATTTAATGAATGCTAGCTGGATTGACCATTCAATATTCAATAACCATATACAAATTTAGATTATTCTCTGCACAAATCCGAATTCCAATTATCAGAAGAAAAAAATAATAATAAATAAATATAAATGATCTTAGACACTAAACTATGTCTTTAGAGATGAGAAAATACTTACCAAAGCTGAAGACGACAGGTGGGGTAGGAACTGGATTTGGACAACCAGCGTGAAATGCAGCGCTTGTGACATACATGCAAGCAACAAGTCTCAACCACGATGTCCTCCTCCGTCTCCGTTAACATTACATCCAGACATATAGGGCACACACCAACCGCCACCGCCACGGCGGTTGATCGATCATCGTCCTTAGTCCGCACCCAGACGTGGTCTTTCTCGGGATCCACTTCGAATAAGCCTACCGGTTCGTCAGTCGCAATCGGTTTCAGTGGATACCTCCCTCTTTCATCTAAATTGTTCCTTAGCTGACACACAATGTTTATGAGGTCTGGATCTGGATCGTCATCCCAATTATATATCGGATCTTCATAAGTATCGTGAGCAATTGTAGTAAAGATCTTCATCTAATTCATCATCTGGCAAAAATCACGTAGGCGAAGGCAGAGGAAACAACGGCGACGGAATGGGATTATCAGAAGATGAAGTAGTGCAGAAGCCATAATAGGCCGTTCGACTTCGATCAACGTCAACGACTATGACGATTCTGGGCAAATTGCGGCGAAGAAGATTTTTGGGGCTAAAGCAAAATCGAGAGATGAGGTATGTAGAAATCTGATGAGCTAAGGATACGACGGTGTTGGGTAGGAATTGATTTGTGACGTTAAGGGCGTCTAGAGCAAGCGATTTGATGGAATCATCAGATAAGAGCCTCATGCTGTCAAAGGTAACAACCTTCTCTGACATTCGGGTGATTTCTTCTTGTTGGTGCTAAATGGTTATGAATTTGTTGGTGACACGGAACATGAAAAGGGCTTTACACTCCAAAACTCCATTCTTACGGAGCTTCCTAATGAATGTTATAAAATGATACGCCTCGTCACACGCGATGCAGAATGCATACTCTGACCCAATGACATAAAATGTTCTGTTAAAGCGGTTAGCATTCTTAAGAAGCATAAGAACTCACTCAGTTCTGTTAAATATTAGTTCAGATAATAATGGCACTATGGCAGTATAAATGAGTTTGAGATATTTCAAGTCTAGTATTTACTCTCAAGTAATTTAGATTACACTAATCTATCATTCAATCATTCTCGAATTAAATTGGAATGTGATCAACCACCTGACATTTCTACATCCCATGGTGTTAGCACTATTATACGCTAGGGTTGTGACAGTCCATAGTAATCAGTTTGGACAATCATGTCACATGGCTTCAAATACATCAAACATCCATAGGAATCTTCATTTCTCAAGAAAAGTAACACTCCTCCTGTAACGACCCTAAAATGATACTAATTATAAAAAATAATAATAATAAAATAATAATAAAATAATAATAAAAATAAAAATTTCGGCATGACCTCTGCTAAAAAGGGGCCTACAACAATCTGCTTAGATGCATAAAAAAATATGCAATAGCCTCACTCGGGCCTTCTAGACTTATCCAAACTGTCCCAACACACAATGCAAAATATTATATTCCAGCATCTCTTTCCTCCATTCATTATGCCTTAACTTAGTTCATCCCGTGGTGGAACAACCACATACCATTTCATCCAAATATCATAATTACAGTCCCAAAATACAAGGTTAAGATCAAATGTCCATGCTTTACAACATTTAGACAACTTATATAGAAGTTACAGCCCATAGATATAATTACAATAATAAGAGTCCATAAGTCTTCGTACAAAATACATTATGTTAAGTTTTACAAAAAATAGTGAAACTTAGATACAAAAATAACAAAAAACGATTATTTAATCCATGCTAGGCCTGTGGTGGAAAGTCATATGCCACTTCTTTTCCGTGTCCTAAAAATATTAAATAATAGGGTGAGCAATTTGCTCAGTAGGCGGCGCCTAAGACACACCTCTTATAGCCCCGTGAATCCAAATATTGAATAGGGATAAAGAATAGAGATCATTCTAAACCGAGAAAAATACGACATAAATTTCTCAAGTTCAAAACTAACAAATTTCCATGCCATGAATGCAATGCTATGCATGTCACTCCCCATTTTCAAATTCACTACAAAAACTTCACTTTTCAAACCGTTAACGTAACCCGTCCCTCGGTACCCCCTTGGCGACACGAGAGAAGGATTGGCCACTGTCCCTGACCCTTGGTAACCCAACGGTGTCATTTGGGGCCCAGTTGGCTCAACCACGCTAGGGTGATCTCCCTAGTTCTCTCTAGGCTATATTAACGCCACGAACTCTTGGTACCCCTGTGACGTGTCTGATTTATTTTTCTGGAATTTTGTCGTTGCAGGGGTATTTTCGTCTTTTGCCCTTTTCGTACCAGACACTGTGGAGTGTGTCAGTTATGTCCGAGAGTTGTCTGGGGTATTTCATTGAGTTCAAGACTCTTTGAAATGCGAGGGTGATCATTTTGGTTTTTTTTCAATTTTTCGGACCGGACGGACCTGTGTGGGACCCGTTACCGAAACTGTTGCTTCCGGAGTTTTAGTTGGGTCCATTTGCATCATATTTATTTTTATTTATTGTGTTTTAAGTGGTTGTAAATTAAATGTGTATGCATATATGTATGTGGTGTAAAATAAGAATAAAAGAAAAAGGAAAAATGAAAAGATATTGGTGGGACCCACCACCATTTTTAAGTGGTCATGAGACCACACCCTTGCTCCCAGTTTTCTCTATCTCTCCCGCAGGTTTCTCTCTCTCCCTCCCAATTCTCCATTTTTCTTTTTCTTTTTCTACAACTTCAACTTTAGATCCTTCTCTCATCAATTGGAGATTTTGAGTGCCGTTTGCGTCAAATTAAAGAGCGCGTCGAGGGCTTCGAGTTGATCGGAGCCAATCTACATTTGGGGGATCCCAAGATCCTAGGGTTTGAGAAAAATTTGGGGCTTTTCATCCAATTAGAGGTAGGGGTCCCTAATCCATACAATGTTGCACCTTAGTGAGTTAATTTTACTTGTATGTCCTAACATGCTAAATTGTGTTAATTGTAATTTAAAGTAATTTGATTTATGTAGATGAAATATGTTATCATGTGAAATAATTAAATTTGTATGAAAAGCATGCTTTATTTAAATCGATTGCCTTGAAAATTACATGATTGTTGTATTAGAAAATCTATGCCTATATGTGTTGATGATATTATGAGGAGCATGCCAAAACATTGATTTACATGCCATAGTATTTATCACTTTCCTAGAAATTGCTATGAAGAAACATGTTAAATTGTGATGTATAAATTTCCTCTATTTTCATACTGTTGGAAAAATATGTGGCATGCATTCATAGCATTGGGCATGAAAGAAATGGGCGAATTGTTTGAAATGATTTGAAACAAATGAAAAAAAAAAGATTTTTGGGGAAATGTTTTGATTAAAGTGATTTTGTGAAAACCCGGTCACTGCGGAGTCACTAAGGAGTTGGTGTGTTAATATAGCCTAGAGGAAATTAGGGAGATTGCCCTAACGTGGTTGAGCTATCTAGGCCCCAAATGACGCCGTGGAGGTACCAAGGGTCAAAAACAGTAGCCAATCCTTCTCTCGTGTCGCTGCGGAGTCACCAAAGGACGAGTTATATTAACAGTTTGTAAAGTGATGGATGTTTTTTGAAAATGGAGAGTGACATGCATGGCATTGCATTCATGGCACGACATTTACTCATTTTGAACTTGGAATTGATATGGTATTTTCCCCGGCTTAGAATGACCCCTCTCCCAATTGTCCTATTCATTATTTGGATTTACGGGGTCACAAGAGGTGTGTCTTAGGCATCACCTATTGAGCAATTTGCTCACCCCCTATATTTAACATTTTTCAGGACACGGATGGAAAGTGGCGGACGACGCTCCTCCACAGGGTTCGATGGGTTAGTAGACCGTTTTGACATACTTTGTAGCTATGATCTCATTTTATTATTTAATTATTTATTTATTTATTTATTTATTATTATTATATATAAATCCTAAGATGACACATATATTATGTATTGTGTTGACCTCGGGTTCGGGTAAGGACCCGCTTAGTGATTCGGACCCTCGGGTTCGGGTCGTTACAACCCCCTTGGCGTCCGGGTTTTTCACCAAAATCCTTTTCTCAAATAGGTTTTCCAAAACCCCTTTTAATTATTCATTTCAAAACATTTCCCTTCCTTCATTGCCCAATGACATGCATGTATGTCACATGCCTACAACATTATGGAATAAAAGATTTTCATATAATACAATAAAACATTCTTTATCATAATTTCAAGGATGATCATACATGTTTGCATACATCACTTCTAGCAATTTAACAACACAATAAATATAGGAAATCAATACTTAGACATGTTTTTCATACAAATCAACATTTACATATAATCATGAAATTTATATACCACCATAAAATCATTCTAGGGTAATTAACATCAATTAATCATGCTAATAACATTAATTAATCATACTAATAACATCAATTAATCATGCTAATAACAATTAACAGAAATTGACTCATAAAGGAACAAGAAAATTGCGAATTAGAGACCCCTACCTCAATCTTAGTCAAAAGCCCCAATTTTCACCTCAAACCCTAGGATTTAGAGATCCTTCAAATGATGGCCAAATGGAGATTGGCCCTAATCAACTCGTAGACCTCGTCGCGGGCTTCAATTTGCCGCAAACGGCACTTAAAAACACCAAGAATTGAGAGAGGAATAAAAGATTGAAATGGTAGAAAATAAGAAAAGAAGAAAGCAAGGAGAGAGAGAGAGAGAGAGCTCTGTCCCAAGTCTGAAGAGAGAAATGGCCAAAAAAATGATGTATGGTGATATAAAATACGTTTAGTGCTTTGTGGGGTCCACTCAAAAAAACAAATATCACTTTATGCTTTTGCAAAATTAATAAACATTACACCTCCAAAATTCAAAGATCCCTGTGCCCCCACCATTTCTTGACCTAGCTCCAGGCACTGCACTTATTACTAAGGCACCGTACAAGATGGCACCGATGGAGATGCAAGTTTCCCTCGCTTTCTAATATATTTTTACTTATCAAAAAAAAATAAAAAATAAAAAAAAAAATGGTAATGAGTTTGAATTATGAGTGGATATACTCACCCCAACCCTTGGAAGGGAGATCCGTTCTGAATCCTCGCTCCAGTATAAGGCAAGTCCACCAAAATAACAAGGTCAGGGCAAAGGCTTATCAGGACATGAATCGTTAATAGGGCATGCACACACACACGGAGACACAAGGGGCTTCCTTACAAGTACCATTTCCCTGCTTGCTTTAATCCAGTTTCAGTACATGAGGGACAACGTTTGATGCGCTTAAAACACCTTTATATGCAAATAATTTCCTTTTACTACAGCTGGCTGCAATTTAGATCACTGGAATTTCATTTTCATTTTTTTTTTGATAAGTACCGAATTTCATTTTCATTGTGACACATTGTGCAGAAAGCATGCATTATTTTAGTATGTTGAAAATAAATAAATTAATAAATCTTTTAAATTCAAATAGACAGTTCAGTGGATTGAAGCCACTTATATTCTTGAAGCTTTTGTAATGATCATCATCCCAGCAGATTTTGCTATTACTATCATCCCAGCCCCTACACCTTGCCTTATTGTACATACAGGCCAGCAAAACCCATCCCTGCCACAAAGCAAAAGCAGGTAGGAAACTCCATTCACCCCAGCCCCAGCCCCAGCCCCAGCCCCAGCCCCAGCCCTGCCAATAGATATGTAGTATCTCCGTCCAAGGACACAGAAGGTTACCAGAAAAGGCCCAACCTGTCACCATTCTTACAGACAAATTAAAAAAAGACAAAATTCTATGTATACCTCCCACGGATATGGCATATGTTCAGGAGAAATCAATTAAAAATTCATGCCATCAGAAACCTACTTCCTACTCTGATTTAATAAATTATATTTTCAAAAAACACTAACTGGCCACTAAAACAGCCAGCTGATTACATACCTTATATCCACTTCGAAGTGCCCCAACCCACACACTTTCCCACATGCAGAAACCTGCCCAAGTGACTGAGATTTGATAACATTGCATAGGGGCATTAGTAGAGGCTTTGAGTAATCTCTTGCCGGAAGTTGGAGAGAATCTATTGCATCCAACAGAAAGGGCCCCTTGTACCTACAATTTACTCATCATCATCATTCTTCAGTATATTTAAATATCACAAGAAGGGGAAAAGAAAGAGAACGAATTACATGAAAAATTTTGTAAAAATCCTACATAATAGTGAGATCTCAACTCCATAACAAAAGGTTGCAACTTTTCAGAAACCATATAGTATAGTTTGTTAATAAATGGTGGCCCTCGCAGAACATATATTTTACGGTACCCAAAGGCGTGCTATGCTACATCTTTCTCTTTCTATATTATTCAACCTCTCTCCTTTCCAAAGTATTCCACCTAGACCAATGTTAATATAAACAAGCAGATAGTTTTGCTCTGCTTTAGATAAAAAATTATTAGATGAGGAAAGACTCTACTCTAAAAAAGAGAGAGACATAAAATACATATACATAATCAAGCATATTTTTACCAACTGCTTCTCAGAAATTTGCTCTTTTCTTGTCTCCAAGGCTATGTTACATGCACTCTTCAAAAGTAGTGAAGTACCTATGTCGGGCACATATTGCTCGGACATGGGTATAGGATATGTGTCCGACACTTTTGGGTGCACATGTACTTAAAAAGCATATCCAACCATTCAATTATATTATACTATTACTTTAAATTTAGTTAAATGCCTATATTGAACACTATATTAGATAAAAACATTACTATACTCTATAAAATAAAAATAAATAAATAAAATTAATATTTAGCAGTGTTCATGTGCCCTTTTGTTTAAAGATATGACACGTCCGATGGATACATACCCATGTCCCATGTCCGAAACATATAGCCGAGCCCAGGTAATACAGCTCTATGGTACTAACTTTACACAATTTGTTTGCCTGCTTGTGCAGTAAGCTCTCGGAACATCTACCAATACCCAAATACAAATTATTATAATCTTTTTGACAAACATATTGATGGCAAAGCTTTTTTCATGCAAAGTACAAATCAGCAGAAGCACCTTTATTCTATCTCACGTACAAAAAGATATTTCTTCATTTTCATTTTCATCTGAGCATGAAGAATTTTCCATCCTTCCTTGCCTTGATATCCTTTTATTTTCATTAAAATATTTTTTTCTCCGAAAAACATAAATTATGATATGAATAAGATATACTTTCACAACATGCCATTACAATACCTCGCATTGATAAACATACTACCAATAAAACTTTATGGTACGACAAAGGTTTGACTGTTGCCAACATGTGATGAGAAGAGAAAAAAAAAAAAAGAAAACCTTATTTGCAACACTTCTACCACCCTACCATAAACTAGCCACCAATGATTAATAACTATAAATATAGCAAATTCAATGCATCAACCTATCATTTATATTCAATTTCTGAATCAAGTACTTATAGCAGTAAAAACTTTTCAGAACTGCCAAACTCTGTTGCATAAGATTGAGAAAAAAAAATTTGGTTGGGATTCTTTTGGTGCAAAGGACAGAAATTATAGCATTATATTCTAAATGATAGAGGAGTAGACCAATTTATGGAGGAGGCAAAACAAGCAACAAAAGATCCTTTTGATCTTCATTTTCCTTTGAGACAACAAAAAGCTCCTTCCTCTCATACCTTCCCCTCTACCAAACAATAAAAACTTTGTTCCATCCCTTCTCTCTTCACTTCCTCCCCCTTCCATCCAATCAACTGCAAGCTAAATCAATTTTACCAACTTAACTGTTCTAAAAGCACCAACCCCCCTAATTCCCTTTCTTCTCATCTCTCTTGGCCCTTTCATCCTCCGTGAGAATGCCTTCCTTCTCCTCAACCAATTTCTTATTTTCTTGCAGCACTTGGGCCAGCTTGACCCCTAAAAAGTGTATTTGGTCATCTATCCCAAACCAAATACACTTTGGATATTCTATCTCAAAGTAAGATGCTTGGTGCTAAACTAGTGTCATCTATTTTTTTCACTAGTCATATAAGAAATATAGTGAAAAAAAATTGAATTTATCTACACAAAGGGGAGTAACAAGTTAGAAGCATTTATGGAGGAGAGATAATATTGGTGCTCCAAAATAGCCCGAGACACTCCACTTCTTACATCCATATGCCATAAGAAATGAAGTGCCTCGGCCTTTTCTTGGAGTATCAATACCATTTACCTTACCAAAATTGCCGCAAAATTACACTGAGCAATATATTCAGAAACTTCAAAAAACAAAATGCTATTAGAACTCATTGTCTTTACCATTTCAGAGTAGCTTATATCATAAAGATCATCACTCAGGAAACGGATGACAATTATTCGAGTAAAGCCACTGACCTTTCTCAATTTTCCAACAGTTGGGGCATTGCATCACTCCCTTTATATTATAAACAATAGAAAGGACAATATGCAACAGTTACAATATCTAACTAACTAATATTTAGCATTCATAAAAAATAAAAAATAAAATAAAATAAAAAAGGAAATGATTAGTGTAAACAAAAATGAACAAGTCCATCAAGTTGAACATAACAAATAAAATGGATTAAATAAAACTGATGTTCGGAAAGGAAGGGTGCACCTTTTGCTGCATTATATCAAAGCAAGATGTCATTAAGAGACTGGTAGTAACTGAGTTCAACTCATAGATTATACAGCTTTTGACTAAAGCCGCTGTTCATAGCAAGAGAGGATAGGTCATGCTTCGTAGTGTTTGTTACTCAAAAACACTTCACAAATTAAATATCCTGCATAGGATGCTACTCCTATAGAACCAATGCTTTGTTACGAACTTTTCACTGACAAAATTCAATTAAAGTCCAACCACCGGACTGGTTTATACTTCATAGGGAAACAAACTTTACTCTGAACTGGTTCTCCTAGGTCACATATTTGGAGCTTTGGTTTGAAATATAGTTGTGCATGTGTGGCAGTGGCAATCTATCTGTTAAAGTTTAGATGGTAATACAGAGTATGGGTTAGGTTCATTAGGGAAGACAAATTTGGTGGTTCTGCATATGGAGTTGTAAAATCTCATGAGAATAAATGAATAATAAAGGTAGCAAGATTAGGACAAATGAAGTTGCTTTAGTACCAAAATCCTTGAGACCCTCTTTTACAACACCCATAAATAAGCACGACCGTCTCTTGGATGGTCTAAGCTGTTCAGTATATGAAGAGACTAACTCATATCATAAATAAATAAAAGAGTGTGATTTTCAGACTTTCCTTCCACACATTCGACAACCCAATTCAGAAAAAAACCTCATCAAAATCCAAATTGGTAAAATTGAAGGAGGAGAATATATATATATATATATATATATATATATATAAAATATTCGTCCACATTAGGTTGATATAGGCTAATTGCTAGCTTGACCATTCAAAAACCCAAACACAAATTAGTTTCTTCTGTAA